AAAAGGAAGATTCCGCTTTTGACAATTGTTACACATGGAGACATGGAGTCATATTTTCTCTTAGTTTAACCTTTTGAATGTCAAAAATGGAATGAAAAATGTTATCCATTAGTGTAGGCATATGCTTTACGAGATCCGACCAGTTGCATGATATCTTCTGCTATCGATTCTCTCTGTCCAGTTTCAAACTGAGAGAACAATAAACTATAGAAGGTGAGAGAAATTTGTCTTGATCTAAAGTATGACATGAGACCTTGGTTTTCATTTTGTTCGATGCCATAATACGTTTTTATTTATAAAAAAAAACCAACAATATTTGGCGACTAAAGAAATATTTGCTTAGTTATTATAAGAGTTGAATACAAATATCTTGATATAAAAAAAACATCATAGTATTATTATTCCACGTTCTCCTCAAATCCATCGTAGTATTGCAGAGAACATGAAACAGTAAACCAACCGAGGATACAATCGTGTATTTGAAAAGAAAAGAAAAACGTATATGTACGTATTTGTATAATTAATCGGAGAATTTATTTTCAAAGTTTTAAGACTAAGAAAGTAGGTGAATAATTCAGCTAAAATTTTTGGGCATGTTTGAAGCATGTTCCCAACTTCGTCCGTAGCATAATTCGGCAATCTAGAAACTATCAAAAGCCTTTGGTCTTTAGATTGCGTAAAGAGTATTTATCTGTAGACCTATCTTCACCAGCTTCCAACGTACTGTTGTACTCTCTTCGTTTCAAATTAGTTGTCGTTTTGGGAAAATATATATGTAATTATTTGGATATATTTGTAATGCAAAATACGTCCAGATACGTCCAAATATTTGCAGATACATTTTGCCAAAACGACAACTAATTTGAAACGGAGAAAGTATCTATCTTAGCAAGTTAACAATATAGGTTCTTCTCTAATTTTATCACTACGTTTTGAAATAATGAAGTTAGTACGTTGTTCTACCAACCAACCAATTAATAGTGGATGTTATTTAAGAGCATCTCCAACCCACCCTTATATTTCCCCTTTAAACACTATTTTAGTGTAAAACTCTTCTCCAACCCACCCTTATATTTCCCATCAAAATAAGGGAACACTATTTTTTCCCTCAAATATAGTGTGATTTTATTTCTCCCTTATTTTTGATGTTATACTTTTTTATTTGCATAATGATCCCTCAAATTTAACTTTTTCTTATTTTGAACCTAAACAAATTATATTTAAATATTTATTTCAATTATATCATAATTATTAAAGTTTTATAAACTAAAATCTATCATACTTTATATTTTTAATTAACAATGTAGCTTAATTACTTTAAATAAGAAACATTTAGTTTAAATAATATATTAATTTATGGGTTTTTTCTCAAAGAATAAAATAAGTGGGGCTAATTTGTGAAACTTATAAATAAAAAGATTTTATATATAATATAATATTCATTTTTAGTGTAAAAAATAAGGGAATACATTGGAGAAAAATATCACACTATTATAAGGGAACACTAAAATAAGGGAGAAAATGATGGAATACATTGGAGATGGTCTAAGCGAGCCTTTTTTTGTGAATACCAAATTAACTTGCGAGAACAAAAAAATACTGTAATGACATACACAAATAAATATATCTTCAAATCGGTCGTGTTACTATTTACTCCCTCTGTCTTATAATGATTGTCATTTTATAATGTTTTTTTTAAAATAAAATAATTTTATTTTCTGATTTCAATGCCCTTTTTCTTATTAATTTATTTGTTTTTTCTCGAAAAATATTATAAAATTTAAGAGTCAAGTAACTTTGAACTATTTTTTTAATTTGTGTGAAAAATGTCAAAGTGACACTTATTATAAAACATGGAGTATTAAAAAATAGGAAAACGAAATTAGATGTGGTTTCTATATAACATTGTGTTTCACCTAACTATTACTCCTTATGTCCCAAATTATAAGCAGTTTGGGATAAAAGTGATAAATTAAGAAAAGTAATTTTTTAATTAAAATATCATTTAAAAAGTAAATAAAATATAATCAAGAAACTGTAAAATTTAATTGGGTATACAATAATTAATAAAGCAAAAATGTGCACCGGGTAGAGAAAAATACTTATAATTTAGGATAATTTTTTTCCCAGAACTGAGAGACAGAGGGAATATAAACAATTGCATTAATATTTTGAATTTGCAATTTTGATGAAAGTGATCATTTTATGAATATTTGAGTATTCTATTATATAAATCAGACTAGCGAAAATCTAATGTATGGGAATCTGCTGCCTACGTCGCATCCAATGTAGAAAATTAACGATTTGGATCGAGTGAAAATAAGATTAAACTAAAATAGTTTAGTTCCTGTCTGATTATTAGAATCATTTCCGACCAAACAATTAAATTGTGTCCAGAATTACATGATTTTCATGTCATACAATTAGTACTGTATTTGTATAGTTTCAATAGATTAGACTAGAGAGTCTCTGTGGATTTTACTAATCCAGAGAATAACACTGAAATATTAGGAGGAACAAATATCTAACTAAAAAAACGTACTGAAATAGAGGGTGAATGGTAAACACTTTAGAGTAAATTGGTGGGAAACATAGTGGAGTAAAAGTGAGGTAAATTTATGTTGTTGTTACATGTTATTTTTTTTTTCTAGCGAGAATGTGTTTGGTGGGCCCAAACAAAAAAACATTTTCCACCAATTTACTCTAAAATGAATTCCAATTCATAGCCAGAATGATTATTTCATAACTGTGAAAATGGTCACTTATAAGTGTTACTAAAATAAAAAAATGAGAAACAAGAAATAATAAAGCTGAAATGTCAATGATTAGACAATTCAATACACTTTGTTTTGGACAATGCATAGAGGTTTTGTCTCTCCTAAAATGTGTAAACATGGACCACACATAAGATTACCGTCGAGGTGCTGTTTAGTTAATTAACATTATTTACCACGAGCTTGAAATAACAAGATAATGATGATTCTACTGTTAGTAACTTTGAATAAAAATAAAATAACATTAACTCAAAAGTCAAAGTCTTCTCATAGGGAGAGGTGTTTCTTTCGCAGAAACCAAGGTTTGTAACTTGTCATTATTCCTTTCTCACTCGCCTACGTGGACCCGAGAACTTTCCCATGCAATTAATAATACTAGTATATTTGACAAACAATAATTGGATAATCGAAATACTTTGAATTAAAGAGTTCTAAATACATACACACAGTCACACACTAAATAAACACGGATACGTTGTTGCTTAATGACAACCAGATAGGCTACGGTCTACGGACGGACATGCAACGTTTACTACAATAGTTTTGTTACTACTACTCCCTCCGTTTCAAATTAGTTGTCGTTTTGGCAAAATGTATCTGCAAATATTTGGACGTATCTGTAATGCAAAACACGTCCAGATACGTCCAAATATTTACAGATACATTTTGCCAAAACGACAACTAATTTAAAACGGAGGGAGTATAAAATAGTGGTCAATGGTATCCAAATCCAGTTAATATTCATTGAAGTTTCGTTGTTAATGTTTAGCTTATCTAAGATTTTGGGCCTGATAAAACTTGTATGTTTGAGGAAATGACCTTTGTTAATTGGTTGAAAATCCATTTTCATGTTTACGGCTAATTACCCCATCGAATTTTTCTACTCTCCACAAAAGGTTGATAAGAAAATCTAAATTTGATAATCTCGTTACCACACAATTACATGCAGTAGACCACAATAGGTGATTGAGTGGGGGTATAGACGTAGAATAAATAACAAATTTCTTGAATCATCGGACTAAGCTTGTGAACAAAAAGTGTTTGGTGACATACGATAAAAAACGAATGGGGTATAGAATAATTGAAAACACATAGAATAACATGATTTGTTATATTTTAGTTAACAGATAATAGAAAGAAAGAGAAGTGTGACAACACATGGGATGTGCCCAACAGCACAAGGGACAGCTTCACCAGTCTGATTTATGCCATTGTCCCGTTCTTGTCCTCTCTCTGCCCCCACCAGTCCATTAGTAATATAATAATATTACGTGTATAATCTCAGTTAGTGTTTTAAATTATTCATAATGCAATAACATGGTAGATTCTCAATCCAAAGGTATCTATTAATGCCCAAAAAAATTAATAGTGGATTCTTCAAGACTCTTTAGATTGTGGCAAAGCATATACCATCAATAAAATAACTACTAATTATCGAAAGATGGTGTTTAAGGAGGAGGCTTATCTATGAAACATTTTACAGAATGTGTTAGAAGTAAGTAACTCAAGAACAAAAAATCTTCTTCATCCATTGAAAATTGAATTGTTAGTTGTTCGTATACGTGCATGTATCTCTGCTTAAATACTTATGACACGTCCACATCTACTCAAATACTCGTCGAGGTATTTATTCTCGTCGCAATTATACACATGCACTAGTAAAGTAGTAATACACACACATTACCCATCTATAGATTATATACAACATTTGTACATCTGTTTAGCAAATGGATTAGGTGCCACGTGGCGATTAGGACACGTTGCCACTTGTGAGATTCTGTTCCAATTACTTGTATAAGTCTATTATGTCGCAGAAAAAGGTTGACGATATTTCCAATTAGCCACTCATTTATTGACGGTCACAAAAGCGAGAAATCATCTCTCATGCCCCTATCTGTTGAAAGCTAAGCTCATTTATCCAGCAATAAAACGGAATTTAATTTTGATTTATTTTTAATTAAAAACGTGGTTGATTACATGACTGACCCTTTCTATTTGAGTTAATTACACATCCAACCACAAAAACCCGACCCGAACCCAAGTTAATCGAATACGATCGGATACTCTAACTCTAAAAACAGAAATCACGTTCTCCTTTTCTCATTCTTCCGTTTCTGCGATTCAGATTCAGTTTTTGAATTGAGAATCCTCCCGTTTGATTTCTCAGATCTCTCTTTTCTTCCTCTTCATCTTGTTCTTCTAGTTCAACTAGTAATACTGCGGAAGATGGCCAGAACTAAAAACCCTGAGTTCCCCTTGGAACAAACTCATCCATCCGAAATCAATCCGGAAGAAGATCCTCCGACTGAAAGAGTGAATAATTCGGAGGAAGAAGATACAAATCCCAATCACGACGAAGAAGATTGGGATCCCAATCCCAACGAAGAAGCCGACAAAGAAGCCGACGAAGAAGCCGACGAGTCCGACGGAAGTAGGAGCAGTGGAACACTGAGTGACCGCGAAGAGGAGGAAGACGGAAGTGTAAGTATCCCGATTAATTCAATATATTAGGAGGAATCTCTCTTTGGAAGTGTTGACTCTTGATTTCGTGTGTGTTGGTCTCTTATTAGTAGTACAACATAGTATAACTTGGTAGAACTCAACGATTAATTCAATATATTAGAAGGAATCCCGATTAATTCAATATATTAGGAGGAATCTCTCTTTGAAAGTGTTGACTCTTGATTTCGTGTGTGTTGGTCTCTTATTAGTAGTACAACATAGTATAACTTGGTAGAACTAAACGCGTTTTGCAGGATTTAGGAGAGGAAACCGAAGCAATGCAACCTTTGCAGATGTACTTTCCACCTAGTGAGTATAGGAAGAAGATAAAGATCTCCACTAGGTGTTACATCGCCGACACAATGAAGACACTTCTTCATACGTTAGACCCTCCACTTACAAGCCGAAAGAGAAGTTGGTTTGAGACGCATCCGCAATTCCAACATATTTTTCACATGCCTAGGGACAATAACCACAAGGTTCAGGCCATGTGGATGCTACTTCTTCGAACGGCATGTACTGAGAAGGAAAAAGAAGCTTGGTTCGTGGTAAATGGCGTTCCCATTCGCTACAGCATCAAAGAACATGCGCTGATATCGGGATTAGACTGCCATAACTATCCATTGGAGTTTATGCAAAGAAAATCAATGGGAACAATGAAGTATGTGGAGAAGTTCTTTAAAAAGGGATCTAAGATTAGACATCAAGACGTGAAAGCAAAGCTACTTAAAATGGGAGCTCACAGAGATAGGCTGAACATTGCGGTCCTGTTCTTTTTGTCTAGCATTATCAAAGGCTTGGTCAAGACTGGGAACGATGCTCCTTCCGTGGACCCATTCCTACTGAGAGCCGTCAGTGATCTTGAGTTATGCCGGACATTTCCTTGGGGGAGATTGTCATTTGATCATATGCTTCATCAGATCACTCACACAATGAATCATTTTGGAGGGTTTGTTAAGGAGGGTGGGAAGAGTCCAATATTATGGCCGATAGGTGGTTTCTACATTCCTTTGGAGGTAAAAATTATTTGAAGTTTTAATTATTGTTTCTACTAACTATAACTAAATTGAGGATACCTCTAATCATATTTTTTTTGTGTAGCTCTTACCTTTTGAGGCAATTCCAGCATTGGGGTTGAAGTTCCGAGAACCTGTTGCCGGTGCAGACAAAAATTGTCCTAGGATGTGCAGATCAAAGTTCAAATCATGCGAGATGAAAGGGTTTCCCTTACCACAAATAAATGGCGAACTTGGTACAACTAAGGTTAGTGCAACTGGTGCAACTGGTACAGCTTGTACAACTGGTACAACTTGGTCCTATTCCTATTTTAATTTTTAATCGTTGGTTTATATTCGCAGGATATTGAGAGTATATTGATTCCTTCCCGCACCGAGAAAACTCTCCTGCGTCAAATCACTGAGAAGAAAGAAGATGATAAGCATTGCGTCGTTGTCCAAAGTTGGATGGATCGTCTTGGTGATGGATTTACCATATTCTTTGAGAATATGTTCAAAGAAGATGTAGATGCCAAGGTTAGAGAAGTACCTGCGAATGTGGCGGTCGAAGATGTTGACCCCATTGAACCACCGGTGAACGGCCAATCTGCATCATTGGTAGATCTCATGGACCGCATGAAGAAAGAAATGGATGAGCGTATGACGAAAATGGAGGAAACGTTTGATGGGTTGGTTGATAAGGTTGATGGGTTGAGTGACAAGGTTGATGGGTTGGTGGAAAGGATTGCCCCGTTGGAAGCTTATGTGAATGAGCAATCGGCATATATGAGGACGTATGAGGAAGGCAATGATGGGAGAGAGAAAGCACATGAGAAGGAAGGTGATGATGGTGGAGAGAAAGCACAGGAGAAGGCTGAGAAGGAAAGGAAGAAGGCAGAAAAGGCTGAGGAGGAAAAGAACTAAGTTTGTGTGTTTGATTTGTTGTGCTTGGTGGTTTTAAGTACTGAGTTTGTTTTATTATGTATTCTAAGCACTAAATTTGTTTTGTTATGGTAAAACTGGTTAAAACTATGTTGATTGCAATGTTGTTTCAATTCGTAATACCAGTACAACTAAGAAAAACTATGTTGATTGGATTTCGTAAAACTATGTTGATTGGAATTCGTAGAACTTGTAATATTATGTAAAACTATGTTGATTGGAATTCGTAGAACTTGTAATACTATGTAAAACTATGTTGATTGGAATTCGTAGAACTTGTAATACTATGTAAAACTAAAGATGTTAAATTGAAACATAAATTGTTCAACTCGAAAGCACATAAACTCGAAACGCATAAACGGAACAGAGATTAAAGGTCTAATGAAACTCAAAACACATAAATTTTCAACTCGAAAGCACATAAACTCAAAACACATAAACGGAACAGAGATAAAAGGTCTAATGAAACTCAAAACACATAAATTGTTCAACTACCATCCATCGAAGATGTTCTTCACAGCTTGTTCAACTAGGTCCTTCAGTTTTGCAATCACTCCACGCTGGTTCCTCAGCTCCTCACTCATTTTCTTCAGTTGAGTTTCAAGACCCGACAGTTTTTGATTCTGCTCATCTATCTGTTCCATTAATTTGTCAAACTCTTCCTCAACACTATAAAACCAAGGAACACGCCAGTGGAACCCATCATTCTGCATAGAAAGATAGATTGAATTCTCCTTTAGACTTATATCATAAATATAATTACACAACACAGATGAGCTGAGATGATTCTCCAATATAACTCACCTTATATGCCTTGCACGTAAAGTATCTGTTCCCCAAATCACCTTCGATTTTCGAAATCTCGTGGTAGATACGCCCTCCACAAGGACATTCCTTAGGGATCCCACGTTGACCATCTTGGACGAGAGTGATATAGTCCATCTCCCTCATCATTTCCTTCATAGCAGCTTTGCTTGGAGATCCCCACATCTATGTAGAAAAGAGCAAAATTGTAGATTCAGAAAATTGTAGATCTAGAGAGGAGATTCGGAATAACAAATCGCAGACTTACCTTAAGATCGAAAAGAGAGTAGATCGAGGAAGAATAGGATTTGTAGGATCTCCGATTTGTAGATCTAGGGTTCGTTCGTTCACTTTCAGAGAGAGAGAGAGATTCGCGTCGGAAGAGAACCGGAAATTGTAGATCTACAGAGGAGAATCGCTCATCGAGAAGAGAAGAGGAGAGAGAGTGAGTGGGAGGAGAGAGAAGAGAGAAGAGAAAATGAAAACGAAAAATAAAAGAGGAGAAAATGAAAATTTGAATTTGAAAATGAAATTTTGAATTTTCCGCCTTTAATTTCAATTTCCACCTTTGTCACACGTGCGCAGTCGCCGTCGCGCCGACATTACTGAAAAAAGGCGCCGTCTTTTCCTTAAGAAAATGTACATAGTTATACCAAGTTATTAGTTGTACTAAAAGTCAAATAGTTCTACTTTTGGGTGTTTTCGATTTTTATTAGTATTACCTATACTTTAAGATATCGGTTCTAGTTCAATAGTTGATTTTAGTTGATTAAAATACTATTTTGAGTATTTGAACAAATAATATGTTGAAAATGTTGATCAATGCAACGTTGTGGTCTTTTTATGAGTTATTCGTAGCAAAGTAATTATAAGTGTATGGTACTTATAGTGTGTAATTCTTCTAAGCAAGCTGTTTTTGCTAATTCAATTTTTTTATGGTACTTATTGTATTTAATCTTTATTTACTAGTATATGGTTTTGGAAATTACAATCTTTGTGTACAATTTTTTTATTCAACTTATAAAATAGTTTTTTTCGTATTTATTGTGTATTTATTTTTTATGGACTTATTGTGTGTAATCCTCAGTAAAACCATGTTGTACCAGTTCTACAAAAAACAGTTTTACACAATAGAATCCAGTTTACCATCGATAGTCTTTCCAAAAGCCAAATCTGAAAGAAAAGAGAAGGAGCCAGAGAAGTAAGAGGGAGAAGTAAAAAAAGCAGTTTTACATAGTTGTCCAAATCTGACAAAGACGAGAAGTAACAAAAACTACATAGTTTTTACACAACAAAAACCAGTTCTACATACTTTTCCAAACATGAAAAAATAACCGAGTACATCATCCAACATATCTATTTTGTCCAATTACCAACCAAAACAGTCCTTGCCTTGGTCGCGTTTTATTTTTCGTTCTTGGACGACGTTCTCCAGGATCAGGAAATCTTAGGACTTTCTTTCTTCCTTCTTAGGAGGCTTCTTTTTCGGCTTGATCTCCAGTTACTTCACATACTCCGGGATATTCCACTGACACTCATTTGGCACCAAATAAACAGTCCTATAATACGCCAATTGCCATGTCTCAACCCAGTAATACCTCGAGCACAACTCATGTAGTTGGATATCACGATCTCTGTCTTCATTATTGGTGTTGAATTCTATAAAAGCAGCTAGAGCGTGAACACAAGGATATTTTTGAATATCAAAGAACCTCGCTTCGCCGCCATCTGTCTTCGCAATGACATCATATATACGCTCAAACCAGTTTAGCTCCTTCACTTTTAATTTCTTAGCTTCTGGCCAAGTGTCGTGCAGAAAGTTCTCGACAAATGGCACTAATTTATGTTCAACCGGTACAGCCGCAACTTCCTTCCTATGATCATTAAACCACTCAGATATATTTGCAATGATCGCATCAAGCATGGGGATTAAGTAGTACTGCCTTGCGGATCTGAAAGTGCTGTTCAAAGATTCCACACAGTTGCTTGTGTCTATCTTGTATCTGTCTCCTGGAAAGTAACATCTTGCCGATGTATGTTTCATATTTTTTGTAGTCTCGACCAGATACTTGGCCGCAGAAGGGTATCTTGACACGAAATCACTATAAGCCTTCTCATGCTCAGCAATCGTGTAATGCCTACTGCACTCAATGAACCTCCACGCGACTACATCTTTGTTGACGCTGAAGGCCCGACCCTTGACATTTTGGGACAAATGCCATATGCAGTACCCATGATGAGCAATCGGATAAACAATAGCTATGGCGGTGAGGAGGCTTGGATTTCTGTCACCCATAAATACCAGCTCGGAAGAGTCCGGTATAACGGTTTTCAACTTCTCAAAAAACCAGATCCAACTATCATTCTTCTCACCATCAAGAACAGCAAACGCTAAGGGATAATTATGACGATTAGGGTCTTGAGCAGACGCAAAAACTAGTACACCACCGTATCCGTTCTTCAGATGTGTCGCATCAACAGTTATCACTTTTCTCATGCATTTAAACCCTTCTACGCAAGCTCCCAAGGCGGAGAAAAAATAGTGAAATTCCCCCTCATCATCCAGTTTGACACTTGTTACCGTACATGAGTTCACTTTCTCTAGCATGTGCAGGTAACAGTACAGCTTCTTATAGCTTCTTCTGCACTACCTCACAAATTACAAACATGATGGTTTTTCCCTCTTAATGCAGTCGAGTACAATATTCTTAGGCCAAGTTTGTTCTGCACAATACCCATGATACTTTTAGGAGTTGGAGTCTCCATTAGTCCTGGATAATCTTCATGCAATATAGCTGCAACTAGTCGTGGTGTTCCTTTCCTACTCTGGTTTCTTGTACTCTGACTAGCCCGAGAACATGTATGCATCTTGTTGTGCGTTCTAATCGAGAAACGAGAAGAACCATTAATCTTTGCAGCCCTTAAAAACCATTTACAGCTCTCTTGACGACATTTCACCACATAGCGCACCATATCCGACTTTTTAATCTTGAAATCAAAACAATTATCAAATGCGGCTCTATCCACCGTATCCTGCACTGCCTTTTTGTTTGGAAACTCTTGAAGTACACTCACACCCAATCCGTCTTCCCATGCCTCTATAAACTGAGTAGCTTCTACTTCAGGTGGCATTTCAACAAATTCATCACGCATATATGAGGACCTATTAATGCCGTCATCCACAGGTTCATCACGTTGTACATGTTCCTCCCGATCTAGTATCATCATCATCCTCATCCACCTCCTCTTGTTGTGGTTCAGCTTGTTGGTTGCCTACGTACAAAGTGGGCATTAACTCCAACTTCATCTAACTTTGGATGCAAAACCTCATAGTTTAAACCAAAAGAACTCAGTGGCATATTTGTGATCTCCACACCTAAAAGACATCTACGGTTTTCGTTATCTATGGAATTTAGGTATACAGAAAGATCGTCATCATCAGAAATAATCCAGGGTTCCTCCTTTTCCACCAGCAATGGATTGAAATACAGCTTCAATTTCACTCTATCTTCATCTAACCCCACTTTCTTGCATATCCTAGCTTGTAGCATTGACATATCAATCTCCTCTATTGATGTCTTAAACAATAAACTGTACGGGCGATCTCGACATTTGAAATGTATGAGGACGACTTTGCTCATTGTACCCTGCAAAAACGATACAAAAACTCAATCAGTTATCCATAGTTATACCTTCTCGACATTGCTCATTATCAATCAATTATACCAAGTGTAACGATTTGAGGTCACAATTTTCAGTTTCGTCATCTCTATATAACTACGGTATTAATCACAACATACATTTAGTTCTCTTTAATTCTTCATACATATAATTTTAGAATAAACAATTTCGCTATATATAGTAATACTAGTTGTACTAGTTATATTCTATATATAGTAATACTAAGTTGCACTCAGTTGTCCTACCGCAAGAACCCAGTTTCGCTAATTCCAGATGAGACAGATTCAATTCTTCATACTATACTCACGATTCGTTACCATTCAACATGTCCTATCCAATTAGACTCTAATGTGCTTTCTAGTCATTCCAATTCTTTCATGCATTCCATTTTGTGCAAATGCAATTGAAAAAAATCAACCAATTGAGAAAATGTACCATAGATTGAAGTTCCCAGCACCTCAGATACGATTGTAGAAGAGGAAAAGAGCTCGAAAAACAGATCAAACTTGAGAAAACATGTATCTCGACGAGAAGCTCCAGAAAGAGGCGGAGAGATCGGAGATGGAGGAGAGAAAAGGGAACGATGTCGAGAAAGAGTAAGAGATGAGAGCGGAGACGGAGGAGAGAGAAGGGAACGATGTCGTCGAGAAAAAGGAGAGAGCGGAGATGGAGGAGAGAGAGAGAAGGGGACGATGTCGAGAAAGAGGAGAGAGAGAGCTTGCGGGTCGAGGAGAGAGAATGACCCGGGAAAGGAGGAGAAAAATTCCGCCTTTTTGAGACGCAAAACGCAAAAGTGAAACGTGAATTTGTAATCTGCGATATCGTCGTTTTTTTGGACAGCTTCATTAAGGGTAAGTTCGTCATTCCAACTTCCGAGGGGTACGAAGATTAGATAGGGATTTAGGTGATTAGCTTTCAAAAGAAAGGGACACCAGAGATGTTGGCTCCACAAAAGCATCAAACATACAGTCTTTTTTAGTTCATTGAGGAATTTTTGCCTTCATTTTTGATTGTTGTAAAAACAGAGGAAGAAAAGAAGAGTGTTAAGCAAAACGACGCCGGATAAATAATCTCGTTGCACGAGTAGTTTCAAACGTGACGTTAGGCGCGTGCGGCTCACCGAAACTTGTGCCTAGTTAGACCTTTGTGATATAGTATAGTCTTACGTGGTCTACTGCAGCAATTCAAGAAAAAAAGATTGACAATATACCATTGTAAGTATTATATATTTGGTCCCTAGATATAAATATTATCGTTGTTTTGCGAATTGCGAGTTACCCCCTTGAACCAATTTAATCTACAGAGTATATATTAATGTATAATAATATTAGGTTAAATATAGGTCTAAGATAATACTGTAATGTAGCATCGGAGGGTCCGTTTATCCTCCTCCGGTAAGCCTCTTCAACCTCTCATCCGCTTCTCTCCTCCTCTCTAAGAACTCTATCCACCCTCGCTATCCCCCCCGCTACGGTGTAAGCGATATAGCACGAAGATTCACCTATGCCGAGAAAGGCAAAGGCATTGCTCCCTCTGTCTCCCCCAATCCTCGCCTCCGCATTCGAGCCCCAGCCATGGATACGTCTGACCTGGTTCAGAAGAATGCTCTGACGCTCATTGGCCGGCTAACCAATCCTGCGGAACAACTCATGCGCTCAATGCTCCCCTATTTCTCTAATAAGTGGGAACTCCGAGGCAACGTCCTTGGCTCAGATCTGGGAAACGGGAACTTCCAATTCCGGTTTGACTATGACGACGACCTCAGGAAGGTCCTCGAAAACAGGCCCTACCAGTACTCAAGATGGATGCTCATCCTGGAAAAATGGGAACCGGTTATCTCACCCCTTTTCCCGTCTCAGATCCCCTTCTGGATCTCACTCCGAGACCTCCCTCTCCATTATTGGAAACGAGAACTCCTCCTTAGTATCGGAGACAAGATAGGGAAGCTCCAGACCTATGAGCTGACTGCTACAGCGGCAAAAATTCGGGTGGAAGTTAATGGGTTGAACCTATCACAAAAGAGGCAGTGGTGGAATTTGAAGGAGGCCATGAAGCGTTGGTTACTCTCGAGTACCACAAGCTGGACAAACACTGCCTTTACTGCCTGATGCTCTCCCATGAAGAGGAAGATTGCCCTATAAACCCTAAATCTAAGAGGAACCTTCAACCGGAGAAACCCCTCTCTGTTGGAAGAGCTAACCACTTAAAACCTTCATTCTTCTCGAACCCCATCGACAAAGCCCCACGTACCTCACGAGAAAGAATGGGAACCCACCTGAGTGAACGAACCGTCCCGGCTCGAAGCTCCCCCGGCCATCTCCCTCTCAGATCCACCCATAGAAGAGAACACACCCACCAACCGCTACGCTCTCAAAACATCAGCTCAAATCTCTCGCCTCCCTACCAAAGAGAAAGACGCGAATCCCAAAGACGTAGTGAAAGGGAAGGAACAAGAGACACAACCCACCTCAGAACCCCTTCGGAGAGACACAGGAGAAACCACTCCCCAAGACGACACTCTCCACAGCAAATCTGGAGAGAAAAACCACATCAAAGAACTGAAACAATGGAGGATAACTTCAGTCCAAACCAGTCCAGACCCTTACCTATTGGGAGAAACCTAGACCAGGAAGACTTTCCCACGCCACCACCGCGAATTCAAACAGAAGACCAAATCCGCCAAGATCTCCACGACATTGATATACGCTACATTAACTGCGAGAATCAAACAGAGAGTGCAGCCCGGAGACAGAGAGTCCTAGAAGGCAACCTCAATGGCCAAAGGGAGGAAACAGTGGCTTTCCTCTACAACGCCCCCTCGAACCAAGCCCCACCGGAAAACGAACGCCACTTTACACACTACCCAGGAAACAATCCCCCAGAACGAAGCTACCAATACCACCCCTCTCACTGAAGAACCTGAAAGGAACCTAACCCTAGGTCAGAACTAAAAGAGGAGAGGCAGACCGCCCAAGAGCCAAACCACAAAACAAAACGATCCCACTGGCTCTAAGATCTGCAAAAAGAAAACCAAAACGCAAATGAGATCACCTCTACTCCGAATCTCCCCACTCTCGAGGATCATCCACAACAGGTCAAGTGGAACTCCCCAAAACCAGGGATCAAGAGCTAGAAACCATGGCCCGGATCAGGGAACAGATAACTTACCACCTCGACCACGCAAACTACCGGCACGTCTTCAGGATGGAGCGGATTTTCGGTCTCCGCGAAGTCCTCTTCCTTAGCGATTTTGAGCTGGAACTGTTGTGGGTTGGGGAATCCCATAACGGTTCACCGATTGAAGGAGCTGCAAAAGATACACTCTCCAGATATCATATTCCTCATGGAAACAAAAAACAACGAAGAATATATTTCCAAGCACCTACCAATGTTGGAGTATGGTACACGTTTTTTGGTCCCACTACATAGTCCAGGAGGCGGAGGACTAGCTTTGTACTGGAAACAAGGGGTTGAGCTCTCAGTCGTCTCCTCTTGCGACAACTTCATCGAAACCTCGATAACCTATAAAGGCAAGCTGTCCTTTATGCACTTTGTTTATGGAGAACCTGACCATACAAAGCGGAAGGCGGTTTGGGAAGATTTGACAACTAGAAACAGCGCTAGAGACTTACCTTGGTTTTTGACGGGGGATTTCAATGATATTCTGGATCATGATGAGAAAACTGGAGGACCCCAGCGAGCGGAGGGAACTTTTGTGGATTTCAGAGCCTTTATATCCCAGTGCGACCTCTATGATGTGCCACACTCAGGGGAAGATCTTTCTTGGAGAGGCATCAGATACACTCACCTGATCCATAGCCGTCTAGACCGTGCCCTATCGAATGGACTCTGGGTTGAATCGTACCCATACAGCCGATGCTACTACCTAGACTTTGAAGGATCAGACCACCGTCCTCTCCTCACCATACTAGATCCAAACCTGAAGAAAAAGAAGGGCCCTTTTAGATACGACAGGAGCTTAAAAGACAATCAAGAGATTACTGATATCGTAAGGGAAGCATGGAACGTATCTGAAGGTTCTACAGTGAAACAGAGGATATCTACTTGCCGAAAAGAGATCTCAAAGTGGAACAGAGAGCATCATAAGAACTCCCAAAAACTTATCCTGGAAGAGAAGAAGAGACTGGAGTTAGCAATGAGCTCACCAATCCCTAACCAAGAGGTAATTCTTGAAATAAACTCCAACCTAAGGTCTGCTTACCAGAAGGAGGAAGTCTACTGGAGACAACGCAGCAGAATCCTTTGGTTGACTTTGGGGGATAAAAACTCGGGATATTTCCACGCTATCACAAGAGGAAGACGAGTAGTTAACAAGCTTGCAGTTATTGAAGATAAAAATGGTGTCTCCTTGTGGTGAAGAAGATAAAATCGTGCAAGTAATAAACTCTTACTTTCAAGATATCTTCATTACTAAATCCTCCGATTGCACCGCAACAGTCGCTCAAGCGATCCAGCCTTGCATCACTCCGGAGATGAATGAGACCTTGATATCAGACCCCACCCCCACCGAGATAAAAGAAGCTTTGTTCTCCATAAGTCCGGACAAGGCCCCGGGACCAGACGGCTTCTCAGCCTGTTTTTTCCAAACCCACTGGTCAGTTGTGGGCCCAAAGATAGTAGAGGAAATCAAAGGAATTTTCTCAACAGGCACTTTACCTATCTATCAGTGAAACCTATATCCGACTTATCCCCAAAGTCCTCAGCCCCAAATCAGTGGCTGAATACAAACCTATCGCCCTATGCAACGTCGACTACAAGGTTATCTCTAAGATCCTCACTAAACGCCTACAACCGATCCTGCATAGCATTATATCAGAGAACCAGACTGCCTTTGTTCCAGGAAGAGCAATTTCAGATAATGGTCTAATAACACACGAGATCTTACATTACCTGAAAGGGTCCGGAGCTACAAAATACTGCTCCATGGCTGTCAAGATTGACATGAGCAAGGCCTATGATAGGCTGGAATGGAGTTTCATTTGGGCAGTACTGGATAGGATGGGCTTCCATCCCAAGTGGACCAATTGGATCTTTCAGTGCATCTCCACGGTGTCCTACTCCTTTCTCATCAACGGAGCAGCACAAGGACATGTCATCCCACAGCGAGGCATCAGGCAAGGAGACCCTTTGTCTCCCTTCATCTTAATCCTTTGCGGAGAAGTTCTCTCCGGACTCTGTACAAACGCTCTAGTCAGTGGAACCCTTGCTGGGGTAAGAGTATCAAGGAACAGCCCAAGAATTAATCACCTGTTATTCGCTGATGATACCATGTTTTTCAGTAAAACATCCCCCCAAAAGCTGCGAGACGCTACGTTCTATCCTCCAAAGGTATGAAGATGCTTCTGGACAGATGATCAACCTCCAGAAGTCCTCCATTACCTTCTCCAATAAAACACCAGAAGATATTCGCCAAAGAGTCAAACTTGCCCTAGGAATTGAAAAGGAGGGAGGTCAAGGGAAATACTTAGGTTTACCTGAGAGTTTTGGTCGCCGGAAGAAGGACCTATTCACCCTAATCGTTGACCGCATTCGCCAAAGATCTATTAACTACTCCTCTCGTTTTCTCTCCAACGCTGGGAAAGTAACCATGCTAAAATCAGTCCTTGCTTCCATCCCAACCTACTCAATGACATGCTTCAAACTACCTACAGGTTTGTGTAAGAGAATTCAATCAGCCCTAACCCGTTTCTGGTGGGACTCTCAACCGGGGAAGAGAAAAATGAGTTGGATTGCGTGGGAGAAACTTACCAAACCAAAGAACCAGGGAGGCTTGGGCTTCCGTGAGCTACAGAGCTTCAATGATGCACTTCTAGCAAAGATCAGCTGGAGACTCATCAATAACCCCTCATGTCTTCTAAGCAAAATTCTCTTGGGAAAATATTGCCAGTATCAGAACTTCCTTAATGTCCCAATAACGTCATCCACATCGCATGGCTGGAGAGGAATCCTGATCGGCCGTGACCTCCTGAAGACCAATTTGGGAAGAGCTATCGGAGATGGCAAGTCAACCTCCCTGTGAAACGATCCATGGCTCTCGCTCGACCAACCCACCCGTCCCACAGGCCCTCCAAACCTAAACGAGAACGAGATGAGAGTCTCGGATATCATCAACGACCAAACTCGAGACTGGAACATAGAAGAAATACAAAGGATCCTACCTCACCATCTTAGAACCATCCAGACCATCCGACCAAGCAAGAAGGGAGCTACCGACAGCTATCTCTGGCTTTCTACAAAAACAGGAGAGTACACAGTCAAAACAGGCTACTTTATGGCTATGCAGCAAAACGAGGATCATACTTATCAACCCGATCATCTGAATTTCAACTGGAATGCAGAGATTTGGCATGCCAAATTCTCACAACAAATGAAGGTGTTTTCATGGAAAGTAATACAAAGAGCCTTACCACTCGGAGAGAATCTTATGAATCGTGGATTGCTAGACGCTGCATGTTGCATCCACTGCGGTGAACTTGAGACAACAGACCACCTCTTCTTCCACAGTGGCTTTGCCAAGGAAGTATGGAACCTAGCCTCTTTCTCCATCACGCTAAACCACACTCACTTAACCAGCTTCATCGAAACCCTCAAAACAGCCAAAAACTGGATCTGTCTTCCTCCCACCGGTGTCGGAGCATGACCCTTGTTCCCATGGATTTGTTGGGCCATCTGGAAGACACGAAACCAGCTACTCTTTGAAGACCGCCCCTTTTCCCCTGAAGACACAATGACTAAAGCTATAATGGAGGCACGGGAATGGCAACAAGCCCAACTCATAATCAAACAATCGCAACCTCAGATCAAGCCAACCACTACATCAGCGACTAATCCAAACACCATTACCTGTTTTACAGACGGCTCGTGGTGTAAGGAGACAAAGGCCGGAGGAGCCGGTTGGATCTTCGTAGATCCCGAAGGAAAGGAACTGAGCTGCGGACAGACAGCGGAACGATCCGTCACATCCCCGATTATGGCGGAAGCCCTCGCGATCCGTTCAGCGCTCAACCAAGCGCTCGACAATGGCATCACCAATCTTATGATCAACTCAGACGCTCAGGAATTACTCCGAGCCATCAACTCGCATGAGACTATCAAGGAGATCTACGGTCTTCTATTCGATATCCACACTCTTGCATCAATGTTCCTCTCAATTTCTTTTCAGTTTGTTCCTAGATCTAAAAACTCCCAGGCTGATTCCATTGCGAAGTTTGCCAAAGAGACTTTAGTCGCTTCAATGCCCAAGCGGGCCCCACCTTGTAGTCATTGATTTTATTAAATGAAAGTTGTTCAAAAAAAAAAAGATAATACCGTAATGTCAATGATGTGTATAATCAGAGCCATTTAATCATTTTAGATACAGACTGTTGAATCTGACATAACATTCGTGAAGACGGAATATCAAAGATGTGAGTTTAAGGAACTGAGGCGGTTAATTAACTCGAAGAATATTAAAGAGATTACAAAAGGAATGATCTCGCCAACTGGCTTGACAAGATGAACAAGAGGAAAAACAAAGAGAATGCTAATGCCTAGATTTCTTGTGGTGATTGCGGATTCTGCTGAATACTTTTGGATGAATTCCGGATCCCTTTCCACGAATGGAGGGTCTTCATTATATAGTATTGATAGATCGGCTTCTTGATGAATATTTTCCTTTTTGCGAGATGGAAAACTTCCTCTTTAGCTATATGGAAAACTTCCTCTTGTCCTTGATTTCCTTCCATTCTTCGAGTCGGCGTGAGAGTTTGTTTACATTTTCTCATGGATTGAACCTTTCTTCTCAAGTCTTGCCAATTTGTTGAGGGGGTTAGGTCCAAGTCGGATTGAGCTTTATGAGTTTACTAATGGTGACAGGGTCGGGGAAATGTGCTAATTTCACCTCTAACAAGAGGAAAAACAAAGAGAATGCTAATGTCTAGATTTCTTGTGGTGATTTCGGATTCTTCTGAATACTTTTAAATGAATTCTGGATCCCTTTCCGCGAATGGATGGTCTTCATTATATAGTGTTGATAGGTCGGCTCCTTGATGAATATTTTTATTTTTGCGAGATGGAAAACTTCCTCTTTAGCGATATGGAAAACTTCTTCTTGTCCTTGATTTCCTTCTATTCTTCGAGTTGGCGTGAGAGTTTGTTTACATTTTCTCATGGATTGTGCCTTTCTCCTCAAGTCTTGCCAATTTGTTGAGGGGGTTAGGCCCAAAGTCGGATTGGGCTTTATGATTTTTCTTTTAATGGTGATGGGCTCATGGAAATGTGCTAATTTCACCTCTAACACAGATCACAGTAGCACATTAGCAAATTGCCACTAACATTATGTTGGGTCTGTAAAGCTTTCTTTTTTTCACTAAATACACGCATAATGCAAAACTACAAATTATGGAGATGGGTTTAACACTCCTTCGGTTGGTCCAACCCAAAATAAAATAAATAAAAACCCGAAGTCTAAATAAATCTGCCAATCCGTATAAAGAAAGCTTAGAATTAAATATTATTAAAAAAAACCCCAACATTTATTTCCGTTTTGATATCGTCACTTGATTGATCTCAATTTTTGTAATTTGTCAATCTCGCTTTACTTATTAATATGAAAGTCATTGATCCATATTTCATCCCAAAATCTATCTTTCAAATTGATCTATTTCAATATTCGAGACTTTCTTCACGCCAAAGCAGGTCCGCACTAATCGCGGTCGAACACCAATCTCCAAAAAACAAGAAGCGGCATGACAACGTAATGTCGTGAAATGTTCATCAGAACTCGTATGCCAAGAGAAGCCGAAGAACCAACCTCAGCACACACTTTCATCGGGCCGATCAACTGTCAAACGAATGCCACGAACGAAGCCCCGATCAGCAGCAGCCAGAACCCCCGAGAACCGACCACGCGTGTAACACCCCCCAGTTCGGTCTATAGACATAGACTAAACCACATATGTCACAACTGTCGAGACTCATCAAATAGGCCGTTCCAGAACAGAGAACGAATCAAAGTCTAGATCAGCCCGTCCGGTGAATCCGACCCTCTCGACCGTAGCATAAGGCTTTGCAACCCGTACCATGGTCTTGAGTTGTGTCGGCTTGGACTAGCCTATTATCATTGAGTAACCGGGTTTAAAAGAAAACATTCTTTTATATATCAAACTTGTAATACAAATTCTTACAAAACATTTTATACTTTATGTTGCAGCTGCGGCCTAATGCCAAAAGATAATTATACATACATTACCCGAAAACCGAGTTTTGCAAAAAGCCAACCAAACTACTCCGGTCTTCGACTGTTCTGCCTCCTGTTCACAGGATTCTACTCCGAGCTACCTGTAAGACAAATAATCATCATGAGTAACCTAATGTTACTCAGTGAGTTCAGGACCCTCTATACAAAGGTTATTCCCCAAACCCAAACCCCAAAAGAAAAAGGCGGGATCTCATCCGCCACCTGCAACACAAAGCAATTATGCAATATTGCTGCTATAGCCTTAAGACTAACCGTACCCCAATCAAACAAGAACAGGTACGATCAATCCAAGACTATAACAACACTCAAACAAGCAATCAATCAATCAAGCAATGCACACAATCAATCTATATGCAAAGCAACCCTAATCAAGTAGCGGAATACTTGACTTCTACATGCAGTGAGGCCTCTAGGTGCATAAGCCACATTCTCAGCCCACGCCTGTGAAGGTTCACGCTCATCCGGAATCACACAGAAACTAGATGAACGCCTTCACCCGGGCACTACAGTCCATCGCGGTACCCGGTTCATCCTCCCATCTATTGGCCTTACTGGCGCACCATGCCAATGTCTGGTTGGATCCCATATCGTCATATGGTACCATACTCGGCCAAGGCAGCTGACCAGGTTATCCTCCGAGTCTTCCTCCCTTCATGCACAGCCTCCACGCTGCCAATCCGGTTGGGCTCTGACGTGCGAGAATGCGCTTGACTACACCTTCCTAAACAACATGTGGTTAGACACGCCACATGTTCTCAGTACTTAGCATATGGGCCTTTACGCACCACTATGCCTCATACCCTCGGTTCTGCGGCAGAGCTTCCCTTGCCTCGGAAGAGTACCCACACGAACCTCGAAAGATCTGGCGGCTCAGCCGTCCGTGATCTTTCCACATCGGAGTCATACTCAACATATGGGCCTTACGCACCACCATGTTAGCATGCACTCGAGGTTTAGCGGCATAGCCATGCTATAACCCCACAACCGATGCATCTCTATGCACCTGCATAAACAAGATCTGACGGCATAACCTTCCCCGAAGGTTACCCATCACAATCTTACACACAAAAGAGATCTGCCAGCATAACCTTCCCCGAAGGACACAACCTCACAACACAAGAGATCTGACGGCATAACTTCTCTCTCTAGAAGATTACCCGTCACAACCTCACAGAGATTTCTGCAGCATAACTCTCCACAATTTTTACTAAACATTATTGTTTAGAGAGTTATACCACATACTTATGAAACGATAGAAGGAAATAAACTATAACCTAGCTACCGGAACTCACAACTTTTAGACGACCCGGCTGACCCCGACCCTAGCCTCCCCGCTCTAGCCCGATGCTGATCCGCCTCTGGATCTTCTTCTCTTCTCCTCTTTCTTCTTCTTTCTCTTCTCCTCCACGCCTTCTCACTTTCTCTTTCTAGTTTCTCTCTCTAGATTTCAGTTTGTGGTGTGGTTTGGAAATGAAGACCAAGGGGGCCTTTATATAGGTTTTTCGGAAGCTCGAGGTGGCGTCTGGTGGCTTCAGAACGCGACACCTTGCTTCCGCATGCAACCAATGGCATTGCTGCACGCCTGGAGCAGCTTCTTCCATCCCAATCCACTTGAGTCAAATGGCACCTTCCCATTGGTCCATTCCCCAAGCTGCTGGGTAGCTGAACGTGATTGGTTCGTTGAGGATGAGCATCTCCTCCTTGATCCTATCTTCCTGGATCAAGTGGCTCCTTCCATTGGCTCATTGTTGATCAGATCAACAAGCTGCTGAGTGTCTAGACCTGATTCGTCCAACACATTCCTGTCTTCTCATGAGCAGCTGAGTGCTCACACCTGATTGGTGCAACACATTTTGTCCCATATGAGCAGCTGAGTGCCCATACTTGATTGGTTAGCTTGAACTTATCCTTGATAAGCAGCTGGTGTCGCCATTCCATTGGCCTTGTGCTTCCTTCTACGTTTCCTCTTGCAGAAGGTTTCGTACGTTTCCCTGTACGGAGGGTTTCGTACGTTTCCTTGACTGGAGGGTTTCGTCCCGTCGTGCTTGAGAATTAAAATCTCTTATTTTAATCCTTCCGTCATTTCCATGTTTCTGAGCTTTCACATAGCTGCTTGGAAATGTGCGGGAAACCTCTATCCCGGGACATTTGCGTTTCTCGCGCTTGTCATGGGATGGATCCTCCGTGTAGTGGGATGGTCGTTTCTGGCCGTCCGTCCCGTCTATGTCTTGACCGTGCTTAGCTAGCATGAGGGATATTACATTCTCCCCCCCTTAATAGAATTCGTCCTCGAATTCTTTTAAGGCTATGATGCCTCTCCTTGTTCCATAGAGCTGTGTGCTGCATAGAACTCGGGGTAGTTCTTCCGGAAGTTCTCTTCATCTTCCCAGGTGATAACTTGCCGGTTTTGTCTTCCCCAGAATACTTGAATCTGTGGAATCTCGCGGTTCTTCAGCTTACGAACTCGGCGATCTCCAAGTCTGATTGGACCTTCTGGGTAAGTAAGGTTTGGCTGCAATCCTTCTACCCGTTCAGGTTCAATGGCGCTGGGGTCACGTATATGCTTCCGTAGCATTGATACGTGGAACACTGGATGTAGATTCATGTCTGCCGGTAAGTCTAGGCGATAGGCCACCTCTCCAACTCGCCCAATGACTTGATATGGACCTATGAATCGAAATGCTAGCTTCCCGATCTTCCCAAAACGATCTCTACCCTTTTGAGCGGATACCTTAAGGTATACCCAATCTCCAATGGTAAAGACTATCTCTCGCCGGTTTTGCTCGGATTGTTTGAAGCTTCTCCATCGTTTCTTCAACCATCGGCGGTCCGAACCTTCTTCTTTCTCCAACTTCAGTCCAACAAAGTGGAGTGCGGCAAGGTCTACCATATAGTGCTTCATATGGTGACATGCCGATACTGGAATGATAACTGTTGTTGTAGGAGAACTCTATGAACGGTAGATATTCCTCCCACATACCAGCCCAATCCAATATGCACAACCTAAGCATATCCTCCAAAGTCCGGATGGTTCGTTCTGTCTGGCCATCGGTCTCGGGATGAAATGCAGTGCTCATGTGTAGTTCCGTTCCTAAGGCTCCTTGCAGTGCTCTCCAGAATATTGCAGTGAACCTTGGGTCGCGGTCGGATACAATGTCCGTTGGCACTCCATGTAGCCTAACTATTTGCTTGATGTATAGGTCGGCTAAGATCTCCACCTTATCAGTATCTCTAACAGGTAACAAGCGAGTTACCTTAGTTAGTCGATCCACTATAACCCATATAGTGTTGTTCTGCCTTCCTCTTGCTATGGGCAATCCTGTGATGAAATCCATAGCAATGGAATCCCATTTCCATTCTGGTATAGGCAGACTTTGAAGTAACCCTCCTGGTACTTGGTGTTCCGCCTTGATTTGTTGACAACTCTGGCATTGGGAGACATATCTTGCCACTGCTTTCTTTATTCCAGGCCAATGATAATATCTCCGTATGTCCTTGTACATCTTCGTGCTTCCGGGATGAATACTAAGTATGGAATGATGCGCCATCCTTAGTATTTCTTCTCGTAACTCTCCTCCTTCAGGTACAGTGATCCTTCCTTGGAGAAGAACGGTTCCATCTTCTGCTAAATGATACTCCTCATTATCGCCTTCTCCTTCTCTAATCCGAGTAGCGATCTTCTGAATTTTCTCATCCCGTTGCTGTTCTTCTCGAATCCTTTGCACTAGGCTGGCTTGGTTTATCGCTTGTAGTCCCAACCTCTCGCTGGACTCTCCTTCCAAGGCTGATAAACTTACTAGCTTCAGTTCACGACCTAGTGTCTCTAGATCCTTCTCCACACTCACTTCTGCTCTTCTGCGGCTCAAAGCATCAGCTACCACGTTGGCCTTTCCAGGGTGGTATTGAATCTTCACGTCGTAGTCCGCAATAAACTCCATCCAACGTCTCTGGCGCAGGTTGAGATCTGCTTGAGTGAACAAGTATTTAAGACTTTGGTGATCTGTTAATACCTGAACACTCTCCCCGTACAGATAAGATCTCCATATCTTCAGCGCGAAGACAACTGCCGCCATCTCCAAGTCATGCGTCGGATAGTTTTCTTCATGCTTCCTTAGCTGTCTTGACCCCCAGTTCGGTCTATAGACATAGACTAAACCACAGATGTCACAACTGTCGAGACTCATCAAATAGGCCGTTCCAGAACAAGAACGAATCAAAGTCTAGATCAGCCCGTCCGGTGAATTCGACCCTCTCGACCGTAGCATAAGGCTTTGCAACCCGTACCATACCATGGTCTTTAGTTGTGTCGGCTTGGACTAGCCTATTATCATTGAGTAACCGGGTTTAAAAGAAAACATTCTTTTATATATCAATCTTGTAAAACAAATTCTTACAAAACATTTTATACTTTATGTTGCAGCTGCGGCCTAATGCCAAAAGATAATTATACATATATTACCCGAAAACCGAGTTTTGCAAAAAGCCAACCAAACTACTCCGGTCTTCGACTGTTCTGCCTCCTGTTCACAGGATTCTACTCCGAGCTACCGTAAGACAAATAATCATCATGAGTAACCTAATGTTACTCAGTGAGTTCAGGACCCTCTATACAAAGGTTATCCCCAAACACAAACCCCAAAAAAAAAGGCGGGATCTCATCCGCCACCTGCAACACAAAGCAATTATGCAATATTGCTGCTATAGCCTTAAGACTAACCGTACCCCAATCAAACAAGAACAGGTACGATCAATCCAAGACTATAACAACACTCAAACAAGCAATCAATCAATCAAGCAATGCACACAATCAATCTATATGCAAAGCAACCCTAATCAAGTAGCGGAATACTTGACTTCTACATGCAATGAGGCCTCTAGGTGCATAAGCCACATTCTCAGCCCACGCCTGTGAAGGTTCACGCTCATCCGGAATCACACAGAAACTAGATGAACGCCTTCACCCGGGCACTACAGTCCATCGCGGTACCCGGTTCATCCTCCATCTATTGGCCTTACTGGCGCACCATGCCAATGTCTGGTTGGATCCCATATCGTCATATGGTACCATACTCGGCCAAGGCAGCTGACCAGGTTATCCTCCGAGTCTTCCTCCCTTCATGCACAGCCTCCACGCTGCCAATCCGGTTGGGCTCTGACGTGCGAGAATGCGCTTGACTACACCTTCCTAAACAACATGTGGTTAGACACGCCACATGTTCTCAGTACTTAGCATATGGGCCTTTACGCACCACTATGCCTCATACCCTCGGTTCTGCGGCAGAGCTTCCCTTGCCTCGGAAGAGTACCCACACGAACCTCGAAAGATCTGGCGGCTCAGCCGTCCGTGATCTTTCCACATCGGAGTCATACTCAACATATGGGCCTTACGCACCACCATGTTAGCATGCACTCGAGGTTTAGCGGCATAGCCATGCTATAACCCCACAACCGATGCATCTCTATGCACCTGCATAAACAAGATCTAACGGCATAACCTTCCCCGAAGGTTACCCATCACAATCTTACTGATATACCTCTATTTTACCTACTTTTATGCTATTTTACTATGGTTTTCTAATGGTTTTTGATATACCTCTATTTTACCTACTTTTTATGCTATTTTACTATGGTTTTCTAATGGTTTTCTAGTGGATTCTTGTGTTAAAAGGTAGTTTTTATGGATTTATAGTGCAAAGAGTCATTTTAGGTAAAAAGGTGCATTATGGAGCAAAACAGGAGATTTGGACTCTAAACCAGTTCAATGCCCCTGCATCAACTTTGGATGGAGCTAGAAAAAGATCTACTCAATGGATTTCATCAAGACCAGTTCCCTGCGTGCTCTGATTGAGTTAACTTTCCAACGCAACTGGAATGGTGATATACCTCTAATTTACCCACTTTTTATACTGTTTTAGCATTGTTTTCTAATGGTTTTTGGCAGGTTTTCTATCTAAAAAGGTAGTTTTACTGTGTTTATAGTGTCTAGAGTCTAAACAGGTGAAATGATGCATTTTGGAGCAAAACCATAGGATTTGCACTTCAAGCAGCTCCATGCACAAGCACCAACTTTAAGAGGGCCCAGAAAAAGATCTACTCAATGGATTTCATCAAGACCAGTTCCCTGCGTGCTCTGATTGAGTTAACTTTCCAACGCAATTGGAATGGCTCATTTGGATGAGTAGAAAAGGAGTTATAACCAAAAGAGTGAAGACTGTCCAGACGGCTCTATCGAGAGAACAGCGCCCAAACCGCGCAGTCCGGCTGGCCGAGGAACGATGTTCCGCGCTCGGCCAAATCGTCCGTCCGACTGAAGTCTCGGCCAAAGTCCAAACCACTCGGCCGATCACGCATCACGACCCGGGAAACATGTCCCGCGGTCGGCCAAGCCACACGCCACGCCACCGCGCACGACCAAAGCGCGCGAGCCGGGAAACGCCTCGCGGCCGCGCAACCCTTCGCGTACCGGCCGACGTCCGTCCGAGCCGGGAGAACGTCCCACGTCCGGCCGAGATTTCATCGGCCAAACTCAATCCGCTCGACCACGCCGGCCGACCGTGAATCCGTCCGACCCCGACCGTTCCGACTCGGCCACAACCCGATTGTCCGGCCGATCGTCCCGCACGACCGTCCCAACGCCGCGGTCGACCCGAAGCCCTTTTTGAAGCCCAAACTTATGTTTTCAAGCCCGGCTTAACCCTAGCCGCCTCTAGAAAGACCTAGCACTATATATATGGATTTTTAGCCTCTTGAGAAAGAGAGCCGCCCTGTATTTCGATTTCCTACTCTAAGTTTTATTGCAATCATGTTTTCTTCATCTCTATGTGTGTTTGCTTTGATCATGTCTGAGTAATCCACTAGTTAGGTTGCTAGGGTTACTATTCAATGAGTTGCTTGCATGATCTTTGATTTCAATGATTAGCTAGGGATTATATTAGAGTCTTTGTCTCGTCTTGTGCACTTAACTAATGCTGATTGCTTTACCGCGCATCTAGTAATCCGATCTTAGGTTGATTTGAGCCTCGACAGTGCTGTATCATTCGCCGGACATATTCTTTGACAAGCTAGGTTTCTTAGACTGCGAAAGTTGATCTATCTATATCTAGTGAACTGTATCAGAACCTATTCATTCTAATGCTTGATCTAATCACCTAGGGACATACCAAAAGTTTAGCGACTAGGTAGATTAGCAAAGGAGCCGGAGCCTCGAAAGTGGAATGGTTTTATATTCGTGATCTGTGTTCTAGATGGTTCTTAATATCCCAATATCCCTAATCAATTAATCTATCATTGTTTCATTGATCATTGCTTGCTTCTCTGCGATAGCCCCTATGACCTAGCGCTTTTCCTTTATTTTTACAACCTCGTTATACTTGCTAGTTCGGTTCACCATTACAACCTCAATCATACTTTTGTTTTAGCTTGATCCAAAATCCATAGTTCAAAGTGTACTCAATAGCCAGTCCTTGTGTTCGATACCCATACTTCCGCGATCTGTGCACTTGCAGAGGTCTAGGAGTTTGGTAAAACCTGACTCCGCATCAAGTTTTTGGCGCCGTTGCCGGGGACTGCAGCAGTACCTTTGGAACTCGACTAGGATCTAGTCTAGAACCTTTTCCTGTTTTGCTTTTCTTTTGCTTTTGAATTTTTAGTTTTTGATTTCCTTTTCTTTGATTTTTACTTTTGTTTTTGTTTTTCCCTTTTGATTTAACTTGTTTCCAAGACTCTTTTCAGGTGCATGACTAGGAGGTCCAACAAGGACAACCTAGTTGAACATCCAGAGATAGACAAGCTTGAGAAGCAACTTAGGAAGCAAAAGCCCAAGAGATGGCCGACGAAGCAGCTCGCGCTCACGCCGCTGAAGTGGCGCGCGCTCAAGAAGAAGGAAGAGATCCACCTCCTCCTCCTCCTAACCCTGCTGGAGATGTGAACGCACAACCCCAAGCTGGAGCACCTACAATCGGAGACTATGACTCTGCCGATGCTTTCTTCATGGATAGAAACCCTATCCATCCACCACCACCTGCAAGGAATGACTATGAGATCAAGCCTCAGATCATTGCATTGGTTAGACAGAACCAATTCAATGGACTTCCAGCTGAGCACCCTCTTGATCACATAGAAAACTTTGAAGAAATTTGCAGCACTACAAGATCCAATGGAGTCTCTGCTGACTACCTTAAGTGCAAGCTCTTTTCATTCTCTCTTGGCGACAAAGCTTCAAGATGGTTGAAGTCTCTGCCAGCTCACTCCATCACCACTTGGGATGAGTACAAGGCTGCATTCATCAACCACTTCTACACCAAACAGAGATCAATTTCTGTAAGGAACAAGATCTCCACTTTCGCCAAGCAACAATGAATCTTTCTATGAGGCGCTAGATCGATTCAAGGAGTACATTAGGGACTGCCCTAATCATGGTTTCAATGAGGGAAACCTATGGAACATCTTCTATCGTGGCATAGACCACAAGTACAAGCTTTCATTGGACACTGCAAGCAATGGAAACTTCATGACCAAGACTGTTGATGAAGCTAAGGTTCTTATTGAGAATCTTGCAGCTAGTGATTGTAACAACTGTCCTGATTATGACCGCTCAAGCCGCACCACTACTAGCTCCCCTGATTCTTTTCAAATGACTGAACTCAAGAACATGATGGCTCAAGTTCTTAAGGGACAGCTCAAGCATATCAATGCAATAGAAGGGATGAGTGATGCTAATGAAGACATCAAGAGAATGCATGGGAGATTTCTCTAATGAAGCCAATGAAGAAGATGTGAACTACATTGGAAACTATGGGAACAAGGGATACAATCCAAGCTATCGCCCAAACCCCAACATGTCTTATAGAAACCCCAATGTGGAGAATCCTCAAGACCAAGTGTATCCTCCAAGGTATCCACAACAACAAAGACCTCCTTACCAATCTCAAGGAAGTCAATTTCAGCCAAGGCAAGGATATGAGCAGAGATCATCATATCCGCCCAAGGAGCCATATGCTTCTTCACCAAATCAAGCTCCTCCAAACCAACAAGGTGGGAGATTTGAAGGAATCCTCCAACAGATCATGGATGGCCAGAAGAGAAACACTAAAGAGATGTATGAGAAGATGGACACTTTGTTCAGCAATCTCAACACCAAGTATGATGCTGTTGCCACTCATGTGAAGAAACTAGAGACTCAAGTCACTCAAACTATGGAAGCTGTTAAGAGACAGGAAGCTGAATCCAAGAAGTCCTTTTGCAACTCAGCCGCCATAGAAGAAAGATTTGAAGACCAAGTTCCAGAATGGATGCTTTCAAAACCTACTGTTGATTGCATGATTTGGCCTGAAGAGAATTACCCAGAGAGAGAGTCCAATCGAGCTAGAAAGAGAAGACTCTTCCCAAAGATTATCCCCAAGACAGATAACTCAGGAAAGTTTGTTGTGCCTTGTATCATCAAAGGTAACATTCTTGAGCAATCTTTGTGTGACACAGGAGCCAATGTGAACATCATGTCTAAGAGGATAGCTGACAAGATAGGCCTCACCAAGATAGAGCCATCATCCATCTCCATCAACTATGCTGATTCATTCTCACAAACCCCTATGGCTTTGTGCCTAATGTGATGGTGCAGATTGGAAATTGCTCTATCCCCTGATTTCCAGATTGTGGAAATGAGAGAGAGTAGCCATAGACCTCTCATATTTGGAACCCCTTTCCTGTCTACTGTGGGTGCCATATTTGATTTCCCCAATCAAAGAATCTCTTTCAACAAGGTGAACAAGGGTATGTTCTTCCCTATGTGTTCAACAAAGAACTCTTTTGTTGACATGGTCCAAGAGGAGAAAGCTACTTTGAAGCCACCCCAAGAAGGAGAAACTGAAGAAACAATCAAGGAAGATCCCATTCCTAAGCCCAAGCAGCTTGCCAAACAAGCAAGGAGTAAGACTAAGGCCCCTACACCAAAACCGCCCAAGGGATCAACCAAGATTGAAGATGAGGCCAAGCCAAGAAGGAAGGTTAGAAAACCTAGGTCTGGCCGCAACATGAAGCTTCTATTCCCAAAGGAGCTTATTGATGAGAATCTAGAAGGATTCAAGGAGAAAGTGACAAGAACTCTAAAGCTTTTTCCTAAGGCAGTAGTGCCAAGGGACATTCATGGAGAGATTGTCTATCCAGCTGTGAATCACCCACCAGATACTCATTGCAAGGAGAAAAGACTTGGAGGATCAAAGATGCCTCTTGTCTCCATCTTCTCCTGAGCGCCAAGCCTTACAGTCAAGCTAAAGACTTAAAACAAGCGCTGCATGGGAGGCAACCCATGAGGTACTTTTACTTTTCTTTCTTTAATTTTCTTAGTTTTTGTTTTGCTTTTGTGTTTTCTTTGTTTTAAGATAGGATAGAAGGAGAAAAAGGTGTGAAAACACAATCCGCGCCAAAACATTGGCCGCGGACGCGCAAAAATTTTGGCCGAGCAATTTCCATCGGGCCGACCGTACGGTCGAGCCGGGAAGGAATAGCGTGCTCGGCCGGATTCACTCTATTGCGCGACAGAAACGTTCGCGCGACACGCACGAACCGGGAAGAAGGCGCGATCGGCCGAATTTTGTATCGGAACGGACCGACCGTGCCGGTCGATCCGGGAAACAAACGATCGGCCTCGGCCGAAATCTCTCGCCAAACAATTTGGCCGACCAAATCGCTCGACCGCGACAAAATCCATCGGCCATCGGCCCAAAACTTTTCTCGGCCAAGGTAAGTCCCCTTTTCATTAATTCAAACCGGTTTTAACCAATCTAAACCAACTTAAACCGGTTTTCAATCAAAATTCGAATTTGAAAAGGAAAATTGATAGGATTTAGATCTTATTTACTTTCACCTTTCCCTTGAAAACACAAGAACCTCTCTTTCTTCTCCAAAACCCTAAACTCCATTAGAGGAACTCTAAGAGTTTTGATTTCAAAACTTTTACTGTTCATAACTCTAAATTGGAATTTACTTGCTCTTGCAACCTTATTCACTTTTCAACACACAAGGTATGTCTTCTAACTCTAATCCTATGTTTATGCAAGATCGAAAATTTAATAAGTTTCATGTTTGGTCTAAACTCTTGTCTAGACTTGAAATTAGCATCCTTATAGTCTTGTAATGAACTTTGCTAGGTGGAACCTAGGTGGTTTAGAGTTAATTTGAAGTTTAATTTCACAATTGAATAGTTTTTCACAAAACTTATTGGGCATTCCAAACCCCTTATTCAAAGGTGAAATTGCTTAGGCATACTTCAATTCATTAGTTTATCTAGTGATTACTTGGATTAGAAACTCAATTTCTCTTGATTTGCTGAAAATTTGATTTTAAGCACCATAATCTTGGGATGAACAGTAAAATCCGAAAATTAATTTTGAAAAAGTGAAATTTCTATTTTGTCTCTTTGATTCATGATTAAGCCTTGAGTTGTTCCATTATTCCATATCATTATTACAACTCAATTAGCTTATTCTTCTTTTGCATTAATCACAAACTCATATTTCTTCCCAAGAATTTGCTCTTGTAGGTACACAATGGCAAAGACAAAAGGAAATGAGAGTATGAAGAAGAAGAAGAACCCATTCATGGAACCACCAAAGAAGCAAATCAAGCTAGGGAGTAGTAGCTCCAATGCAAGAGCAGCAATACCAACTTCACCACATTCCATTGATGCAAGTCAAGAACATGTGGAGAGTCCAAGAAGAGGAGAAGATGATTGGGCACTTGTAACCTTTGTTGGAGAACAAAATCAAGACCCAAGAAAGTGTAAGAAGGCAATGGAGAAGGTGAACATCGACCATGTGTGAAGATGGACACCCAAACCCTTGATCTTCTCAAGATAAGAGATGATGTCACATGGTACATAAGGAAGCTAGGCTTGAGCAAGCTCTTCAAGCTAGAATGTAGTGAGTACTCACAACTCACCAAGGAGTTCCTCTCCACAGTAGCTCTTGCCTTTCCCAACCACAATGGAGACCAACCAGCTGGTGATGGACTCCTACTCTTCAAGATAGGCGATGCCAATGGGCGCATCTCCATCTCAGCTCTATGCCAACTCTTTGGACTTCCCAATGAGACAGCACATGACTTCAAGGAGAACTCAAAGAGGAAACAAGCTGCCTTTGCTGATTGGACACACTTTGCCAATGAACCATTCTTGCCTTCAAGGTCAAAGGTGTCTAGAATCACTCATCCAGCCATTCGCTATGTGCACCGCCTCATCTCCACCACTTTCCAATGCAAACAAGAAGCCAACAAGGTCACAACTGATGAGTTCTACATCCTCACCACACCATTCATCAAGCATGAGTACAAGGCCAACCTTGGACTTTTACTTGCCAAGACATTCATCAATGTGAGGAAGCTAGCTAAAGACTTGGAAGGCAACAAGAAGCTTTGTGTTCGTTTTGGGAGGCTTATCACGGCCATAGTACTGCATGTGGGGATTGACATTCCCAACTATGAGCCACTACCCAAGCCAACCCCTTTGGATCTCCATGCTCTTCAGCACATCCACTTCCTAAACCGTTGGACTAAAGACCCAACTCGGTTTTGCTATGAGTTTCCAATTGGTCCAGCCAACACTTCCCTTGTCTTGCTGCCACATGAGGACATCCCAAGCCTACGCTCAGGAGTTGTCACTTTCCAGCCCAATGAGGAAGATTTCTATGTTCCATCAAGTGAGAAACCATCATTCCCCATGCTCACATATCGCACACTTCAGCATGCAGTCAAGACTCAACGCCGCCTCCAAGAACGCCATGTTCTCACTACTGGCATGGCTGCGCACCAGGCTCTAGACCGTGTTAACAAGCTGGAGAAGATAGTGGAATGCCAATCTCGCTTCATCTCGCGCCTAGTCCGCGTAGTTCGCCACATTGCACCGGAGAGACTCTTTCGCCCTTCTTCCACCGCTAGAGAGCCATATGAGCCTGACCTTGGTGAGTTCTCACTAGACTCAGAGCTTGGTTCAGAAGGCGATGACCCCATAGATGAGGAAGAGAGTTCTTCTCACTGCCACACATAGTCATCTCAAGTGGTACTTAGTGCAATGGACACTTACAAATCTCCATTTTCTATCCCTATCTTATTTTAATGAATTTTTCTTTATTTTTCTTTTACTTTGAATATTACCTCTCACCTTAATGTGATTTGCTTTCACCGGGACGGTGCAAGTTAAGTCTGGGGGGAGTTTTATTGTGTTACTAATGCATTTTTCTTTCTTTTCTTATGTTTTATTCACTTTGTTTCATGTTTTTCAAAAAGTTTTATTGAGTCAAAAACCAGTCCGGAAGTTATGAACTTGCTTTGAGAATTGAGAGTGTTATGCTAACAATCCATGACCCTAGAGCAGAAACCAGCTAAAGGCACAAGCCTAACAGAAGCTCTTACAGTGGATCGACATGCTAGCTCAGCAAAATTTCTAAGGTAACCAAGCAATCTAGAGTTAACCTCACACTTAATCAATCTTAATTACTCTTGTCAAGGGGGTTGGCATACATGTCGACAGTTCCTTACTTGATTTTCAATAAGATTTGTCTAATCTTTAAAGAGTTCTCCTCTCTCTCCCATCCCAAATGGTAAGTAATGTATGAGAAAAAGCTCAAAGAGCACAAGGACAACAAGTAAGCATGAGGAATGCATATGTCTGTACCTTCATGTCTTATGGAATACCTTAGTCAAACAAGGAACAAGCTAAAGACTTATCCTGTGGTTGAAAGAAGGGTCAATAGAAAAAATAAAATGATACCCTAGAAAAGTAGGGATAAATTGACCTTTCAAAGTTCTGATGTGAGAAAGAGAGAGGAAAAGACTCATTGCACTTAAAGAGGCAATCTTGGAGAGGATCAAGTGGGTAAGAACAAGTTCAATTGATCGATGTCCCCTTGATAAAGAATTCACGCTTTAAATTTATGCAAGAGGTTAGCAATAGAGAGTTTGGATTGCTGGATGAGACTAGTTGGGTTGGTATTGTTCGCTAAACTTGCAGGGTGTATGTGAAGCTAACCTTATGTTGTCTATGTTCATAGTGGAATACAGGAAAGGAACCTTTCACAGGATATTCAAAAGAGCAAGGGAGCTTCCACGTTTTCAAACCTCTTTCACGGATTTAGATTCTTTTTGCTTGAGGACAAGCAAAGATCTAAGTCTGGGGGAGTTGATATACCTCTAATTTACCCACTTTTTATACTGTTTTAGCATTGTTTTCTAATGGTTTTTGGCAGGTTTTCTATCTAAAAAGGTAGTTTTACTGTGTTTATAGTGTCTAGAGTCTAAACAGGTGAAATGATGCATTTTGGAGCAAAACCATAGGATTTGCACTTCAAGCAGCTCCATGCACAAGCACCAACTTTAAGAGGGCCCAGAAAAAGATCTACTCAATGGATTTCATCAAGACCAGTTCCCTGCGTGCTCTGATTGAGTTAACTTTCCAACGCAACTGGAATGGCTCATTTGGATGAGTAGAAAAGGAGTTATAACCAAAAGAGTGGAGACTGTCCAGACGGCTCTATCGAGAGAACAGCGCCCAAACCGCGCAGTCCGGCTGGCCGAGGAACGCATGTTCCGCGCTCGGCCAAAGCTCGTCCGTCCGACTGAAGTCTCGGCCAAGTCCAAAACCACTCGGCCGATCACGCATCACGACCCGGGAAACTCAAGCCCGCGGTCGGCCACGCCACACCGGCCACGACCACCGCGCACGACCAAAGCGCGCGAGCCGGGAAGTAATGCCTCGCGGCCGCGCAACTCGCTTCACGTACCGCGCACGAACGCTCCGTCCGACCCGGGGAGTAACGCCTCGCGTCCGGCCGAGAGATTTCATCGGCCAAACATCATCCGCTCGACCACGCCGACCGACCGTGAATCCGTCCGACCCCGACCGTTCCGACTCGGCCACAACCCGATTGTCCGGCCGATCGTCCCGCACGACCGTCCCAACGCCGCGGTCGACCCGAAGCCCTTTTTGAAGCCCAAACTTATGTTTTCAAGCCCGGCTTAACCCTAGCCGCCTCTAGAAAGACCTAGCACTATATATATGGATTTTTAGCCTCTTGAGAAAGAGAGCCGCCCTGTATTTCGATTTCCTACTCTAAGTTTTATTGCAATCATGTTTTCTTCATCTCTATGTGTGTTTGCTTTGATCATGTCTGAGTAATCCACTAGTTAGGTTGCTAGGGTTACTATTCAATGAGTTGCTTGCATGATCTTTGATTTCAATGATTAGCTAGGGATTATATTAGAGTCTTTGTCTCGTCTTGTGCACTTAACTAATGCTGATTGCTTTACCGCGCATCTAGTAATCCGATCTTAGGTTGATTTGAGCCTCGACAGTGCTGTATCATTCGCCGGACATATTCTTTGACAAGCTAGGTTTCTTAGACTGCGAAAGTTGATCTATCTATATCTAGTGAACTGTATCAGAACCTATTCATTCTAATGCTTGATCTAATCACCTAGGGACATACCAAAAGTTTAGCGACTAGGTAGATTAGCAAAGGAGCCGGAGCCTCGAAAGTGGAATGGTTTTATATTCGTGATCTGTGTTCTAGATGGTTCTTAATATCCCAATATCCCTAATCAATTAATCTATCATTGTTTCATTGATCATTGCTTGCTTCTCTGCGATAGCCCCTATGACCTAGCGCTTTTCCTTTATTGCTTACAACCTCGTTATACTTGCTAGTTCGGTTCACCATTACAACCTCAATCATACTTTTGTTTTAGCTTGATCCAAAATCCATAGTTACAAAGTGTACTCAATAGCCAGTCCTTGTGTTCGATACCCATACTTCCGCGATCTGTGCACTTGCAGAGGTCTAGGAGTTTGGTAAAACCTGACTGCGCATCAAATGGCTTCATTTGGATGAGTAGAAAAGGAGTTATAGCCAAAAGAGTGAAGGCTGCTCCAGACAGCTATATCGAGAATCAGCGTCCGAACGCGCAGTCCGGCTGGCCGAGGAACGAATGTTCCGTGCTCGGCCAAAACCGTATTCGTGACTGATGTCTCGGCCAAAGTCCAATGCCACTCTCGGCCGATCACACAGCACGACCCGGGAAACATACGCCCGCGGTCGGCCAAGCTTCAATCGCTTCACGCCACTCCGCGCACGACCAACACGCGCGAGCCGGGAAACAAAGCCTCGCGGCCGCGCAACCCGTTCCGCGTACCACGGCCGATGCATCCGTCCGAGCCGGGAAAGAATGTCCCGCGTCCGGCCGAGAAACCATCGGCCAAATCTTCGTCCGCCGACCAAGCCGGCCGACCATGAAACATCCGGCCCGACCGTTCCGACTCGGCCAAAGACCCGACTGTCCGGCCGACCGTCCCGCACGACCGTCCGAACGCCGCGGTCGACCCGAAGCCGTTTTTGAAGCCCAATCCGCACAATTCAAGCCCAAAGCCGGCGCCGACCTAGCTAGATTAGGTTTAGCCGTCTTCTTATACTTAGAGCATTATAAATACTTCTTTTTAGCCTTGTAACTCAAGAAGGAGAGAGACCACAATCTATTTTACATCTTAATAAAGTTTTGCTTGCTTTTACTTTGTTCTTGCTTGTTACTCTTTCTAGAGAGGATTCGAATCTCTGTTCTTATGAATATGAATTCGTTTCCTTCTCTATGTCTGAGTAGTTTACTTGTTAAGTGATAGGAAGTCAAAGGATAGCATTCATGTATGCTTGATGATTGATCACAATTAGGGTTTTACTTATAATCTCCATCTTTGCTTATACTTAATGCTTGTTGTTAATCTGGCCAATTAGCATATGCCTTTAGGTTGATTTGAGCCTCGACAGTGCTGTATCATTCGCCTGAACTAGTATTTGGTGGGCAATCTCTTTTAGACTGCGAAGTTGATCTACTTGTAGGTTGTGAACAATTGATCTTGATCGAACTAATGCTTGATTTAATCACCTAGGGACATACCAAAAGTTTAGCGACTAGGTAGATTAACAAAGGGGTCGGAGCCTCGACAGTGGAATGATCATACCATAGTGTTTCAAGTTCTAGATTAGCACCTAAGTGCGGTAACCCTAATTGATTGATTTCATGCTTCTTGAATTGCTTATCTCAAGACTATCCTATTGCTTAGCCTTTCTCTCCTATTGAATCCTTACTTTTATTACTTGCATGCTTTACTTTCTCTGCACTCAACCAACTTATACTTTTGCCCTAGCTTGTTCTCAAACTCATAACTTGTAGTGTGCAATCTGGTCCTTGTGTTCGATACCCGTTTACTACTTCTGACCTGTGCACTTGCAGAATCAGGGATAGGAAAGGGGAAGACCTGATCCCGCGATCACTTACACACAAAAGAGATCTGCCAGCATAACCTTCCCCGAAGATTACCTGACACAACCTCACAACACAAGAGATCTGACGGCATAACTTCTCTCTAGAAGATTACCCGCCACAACCTCAAGAGATTTCTGCAGCATAACTCTCCACAATTTTTACTAAACATTATTGTTTAGAGAGTTATACCACATACTTATGAAACGATAGAAGGAAATAAACTATAACCTAGCTACCGGAACTCACAACTTTTAGACGACCCGGCTGACCCCGACCCTAGCCTCCCCGCTCTAGCCCGATGCTGATCCGCCTCTGGATCTTCTTCTCTTCTCCTCTTTCTTCTTCCTCTTCTCCTCCACGCCTTCTCACTTTCTCTTTCTAGTTTCTCTCTCTAGATTTCAGTTTGTGGTGTGGTTTGGAAATGAAGACCAAGGGGGCCTTTATATAGGTTTTTCGGAAGCTCGAGGTGGCGTCTGATGGCTTCAGAACGCGACACCTTGCTTCCGCATGCAACCAATGGCATGGCTGCACGCCTGGAGCAGCTTCTTCCATCCCAATCCACTTGAGTCGAATGGCACCTTCCCATTGGTCCATTCCCCAAGCTGCTGGGTAGCTGAACGTGATTGGTTCGTTGAGGATGAGCATCTCCTCCTTGATCCTATCTTCCTGGATCAAGTGGCTCCTTTCCATTGGCTCATTGTTGATCAGATCAACAAGCTGCTGAGTGTCTAGACCTGATTCGTCCAACACATTCTGTCTTCTCATGAGCAGCTGAGTGCTCACACCTGATTGGTGCAACACATTTTCGTCCCATATGAGCAGCTGAGTGCCCATACTTGATTGGTTAGCTTGAACTTATCCTTGATAAGCAGCTGGTGTCGCCATTCCATTGGCCTTGTGCTTCCTTCTACGTTTCCTCTTGCAGAAGGTTTCGTACGTTTCCCTGTACGGAGGGTTTCGTACGTTTCCTTGACTGGAGGGTTTCGTCCCGTCGTGCTTGAGAATTAAAATCTCTTATTTTAATCCTTCCGTCATTTCCATGTTTCTGAACTTCCACATAGCTGCTTGGAAATGTGCGGGAAACCTCTATCCCGGGACATTTGCGTTTCCTTGCGCTTGTCATGGGATGGATCCTCCGTGTAGTGGGATGGTCGTTTCTGGCCGTCCGTCCCGTCTATGTCTTGACCGTGCTTAGCTAGCATGAGGGATATTACAACGCGTCCCCAGCAGGGCATAGCAAAGCACCGCATGCCCAGGATGACAAGCCAAAAAGCCATTAGAGAATCCAGGAAACCACGACTCTGTTGCTTGCCCTACTCTCAAGGCTCGACAACTTCACCTGAGGAACGGACAGCCGCCCAACAGCCCATTCGCCGCACAACTCTCCAGCCAAAACTGTATAAACAAACTCAAAGCATTGCTGGTTCCACCAGAGCACCTTCAGAGAACCTCTTCCGCAATAATCCAACACCGCTGACCATCCTGATTGGCACAACAAGTCCATCTTCATGCATGAATCCGGTCTTCTACTCTCTACAAAACACCGAATGGAATGAGCAAGACTACGACAACAGATGAAGAACAAACTCCAGAACATGATGAACTCCCGAATCTACCATGCAACAAATTCGACACCAGAGATCGATCAGGTGCTTCGGGAAGCGCATAACACGCTATTCAGTGACAGGATCGCACACACACCAGTAGACTACCCAATAAAGCTGAAGATATCCACGTACAAGGGAAACACTCACCCAAGGCAATATCTGACGGCATTCTGCATAGCGATGGGACAGACCCACTTCTCCGAAGAAGAAAGACGCCGGCTTTTGTCAACTCTAAGTCGAAAATTTCTCCAGATCAGCCCTAACTTGATTCTCAAGGCTGGAAGTCCACTCAAACTATAGCTACCATTAGTTAACCACTAATTTTTTCAAGCAGTCCTCGATGTACATTTGTAGAGGTATGCCGTGTACGTCGTGCGCAGCTTTGGGCACTCACCCAAGGGCCAAAAGAATTATTGAGATTGTTCATCAATAAGTTCAAAAGTGTGGCCTCGCAACTCACAGTAACCAGAGTAAAAGCCCTCGTAGCATTGAAAAATGGGCTATGGTACGACTCGGCTTTCCACGATGATCAGATATTGAACGAACCAAATACTCTTGAAGACGCCCTGTGCTGAGCAAACATCTTCATCGCTTTGGAAGAAGAGAAGGCCGCTATGGGAAAGCGCCACCCCAACTAAAGTCTCCCACCCCAAAGAAAAGATCAGAGAAGAGTACTACGAGCCCCGACAGCATTATGACCAGAACTACGAGAATGACAAGGAAGGTAGTAGGGCAGTGAACTGCTACGTAGGGAAAGATTGGTTGCATGATCAACCAGGTCAGCCAGCCCGACCATTGATCGCGGGATCAGGTCTTCCCTTTTCCTATCCCTGATTCTGCAAGTGCACAGATCAAAAGTAGTAAACGGGTATCGAACACAAGGAGCAGATAAGTACACTTCGAGTATTGCAAGTCTAAATAGCTAGAAAACAAGTATGATTTAGGGTTTTTGATTGTGAAACAAGTAAATCAAACAGCAGATTAAACGGTTTATGAAAATCAATAAAGGGAAACGCTAGGCAATGAGAAACTCGCAGAGATTCAAGGTTAACAAGATATTAGAAGGTTTCGCTAGGGTTTGCGCTATCTAGAACTCAGGTCACGATTGTATGATCTTTCCACTGTCGAGGCTCCGACCCCTTTGTTAATCTACCTAGTCGCTAAACTTTTGGTATGTCCCTAGGTGATTAAATCAAGCAATAGTTCGTTCAAGACCCAATTGTTCACAACCCCTCATAGATCAACTTTCGCAGTCTATGAAGTTTTGCTCACCAAATACTTAGTTCAGGTTATATAGCAAGCTTTTGGAGAGTATATGAAACCTAAGATCTGATGCTAGTTGATCAGAAAAGCAAGCAGCAATAAGTTCAAGCAGAGGCGAAGATGCGATATGATAAACCCTATGTGACTTCTAACAACCTATCAAACCATGAACTCTTTGATAGATCTCACAACCTAACTAGTGAATTACTCAGACATAATCAAAGCAAAACACACAAGAGATGAAGAAAACATGATTGCAATAAAACTCAAAGTATGAAATCGAATACAAGGGCGGCTCTCTTTCTCAAGAGGCTAAAAATCTATATATATAGTGCTAGGTCTTTCTAGAGGCGGCTAGGGTTAAGCCGGGCTTGAAAACATAAGTTTGGGCTTCAAAAGGGCTTCGGGTCGACCGCGGCGTTGGGACGGTCGTGCGGGACGATCGGCCGGACAATCGGGTCGTGGCCGAGTCGGAACGGTCGGGGTCGGACGGATTCACGGTCGGTCGGCGTGGTCGAGCGGATGATGTTTGGCCGATGAAATCTCTCGGCCGGACGCGGGACGTTCTCCCGGGTCGGACGGAGCGTTCGTGCGCGGTACGCGAAGCGAGTTGCGCGGCCGCGAGGCTTACTTCCCGGCTCGCGCGCTTTGGTCGTGCGCGGTGGCGTGGCGGTGTGGCTGGCCGACCGCGGGCTTGAGTTTCCCGGGTCGTGATGCGTGATCGGCCGAGTGGTTTTGGACTTTGGCCGAGACTTCAGTCGGACGGACGAGTTTGGCCGAGCGCGGAACATCGTTCCTCGGCCAGCCGGACTGCGCGGTTGGGCGCTGTTCTCTCGATAGAGCCGTCTGGACAGTCTCCACTCTTTTGGTTATAACTCCTTTTCTACTCATCCAAATGGCCATTCCAGTTGCGTTGGAAAGTTAACTCAATCAGAGCACGCAGGGAACTGGTCTTGATGAAATCCATTGAGTAGATCTTTTTCTGGGCCCTCTTAAAGTTGGTGCTTGTGCATGGAGCTGCTTGAAGTGCAAATCCTATGGTTTTGCTCCAAAATGCATCATTTCACCTGTTTAGACTCTAGACACTATAAACACAGTAAAACTACCTTTTTAGATAGAAAACCTGCCAAAAACCATTAGAAAACAATGCTAAAACAGTATAAAAAGTGGGTAAATTAGAGGTATATCAACCATGAAAAAAATACGTTCGACAGGATGATCCAAAGCCGGCCCAACTGGAAATGCCGACCCAAGCTTACTGCGACTATCACAAGCGTCCGGGCCATGCAACAACACAATGGAGGCATGTGCAGAAATTCGTCCTCGAAAAATTCACTAGTAGAAAGATATCGGAACCCAATCTAAGATAGGTCTAAAGAAACTCCTACCGTCCACCCGCAAACAACCAAGAAAGAAGAACAAACCCTCAGGGAAGGGGCTATCTGCCAGCTTGGAGTAACCGCGATAAAAACCTCGCCGAACAGAAATAACGAAACCACGAGGACACGAACGCCTGCACCTCACCACCGTCTCCGCCAAGAAGGAGGATCAACATGATAATGGGAGGTTTTTCGACCTGCAATGACTACGTACTTTCGATAAAATAGTAGGGAGGAAGACCATCGTGGCCCAGCAGTGGAAACACGACATTGGCACCGAGCTCGACGAAGCGAGCAATATCTTCTTCAAAGATTCATATGCCAACGGCGTGGACATGCATTACGAACCCCTAGTGATCGAGCTCATGATAAGCGACTGCGACGTCACCCGAGCGTGATCGAGCTCATGATAAGCGACTGCGACGTCACCCGAGCGTGATCGATACCAGTACCACCGTGATATATCATGATTTTTTATGGGTTTTTGACCATGATATAAGTCTTGTATATAGTGTCTTTTTTGTTATTTTTGGAGTCTTTACAAGTTTAGGTACCTTTGAGAGCTTAATTTGAAGCATTTGAGCTATTTGAAGCTAAATCACGATTTATGTTGGAAAACAAGAGAATCTATCGTTCACAGATATTGGTGTTGGGCGATACCAAGGATCTGTGTCTGTCGACACCACGAAAAGACGAAAATCCAGGTTTTTGAAGAATTAGAATTATTGTTTTGCCTCATAAGTTCTGCTTATTTGCACTGCTGCCCCAATTCATATTTTAGACATTATTTTAGGTTTTTAAAGCCATTGTTAGGCTAATACTTTTCATACTTATCTATTGAGACTTAGAGAGAGATTTGTAGCAGAGCTTTGGAGAGACAAATCAGACTCCTTCAGAGAAGATTTTGAACTCCTTTATCTCTATTCTTATTTCTTTTATGCAATCTATTTTATTCATGATGTTTGTCTCAATCACCATGTCTGAGTAGATTCCTTGTTAGGTTTAGGGTTTTTCAAAGGTTGAAGAAGAATTGCAATTGCTTAGGATAATCATTAGAGTTCTTCATCTGGATTGTGTTTATTGCTTATTCTAGCTTCGCGACCTAGAATCTGATCTTAGGTTAATTGGTAGACACGAAAGTGTTATTGATTTCCTGAACTATCTTAGATGAGCAAAATATCTATCTGCAAAGAATTTGGTTTAGAGATTTTGTGAACTTATCAAACCTGATCATTAATGCTTGTTTGAATTGTTGAATTTGCAAAGAAATTTGGGATTTTAAGAGCGTCTCCAACCCAGCCACATATTTCACCTTTATTGCCATTTTGGAATAAATTTTGCTCCAACCCAACTCCATTTTCAATCTCAAAATGGCAAAATGCCGTATTCTTTCCCAAAATGAGGTTGATCTCAATTTCATTTTCATTTTGGAGTTGAAGGTTTTAATTTATATAAGAGTCCTTGAAATTTTAAATTATTTCAGTTTAAGATATATAATTAATTATTTTGATGTTTATTTTTGTTCTAAAATACAAGTAACAATATTTAATAGGAAATTTAATTATTCAAGCTAACAATAAATTTAAAAAGAAAGGAAAAATACTTTTATTAGAAATAACATCAAAAAGAAATTTATTAAAACAACTATTACTGGTTTAGTTGATCATTTAAGGGAAAAGTATTCAAATGGTTCTAATTAAAAATAAAATTTGGGTTGTTTTGTTATTTTTAGTCTTGTAATAATATATTATTAAATTTCATAATTAATTTAAATAACGTTAATAAATTGTGAAATTTTTGAAGAAAACATAATTATGGGGCAATTTTAATATATATAAAAATACATGTAATTTAGTAATTAATAAAATGTTTTTCAAAAAGAATATATTTAGAATATTATTTTTGAAGTAAAAAATGAGGCAATACAATGGAGCAAAACTCAACTCCATTTTGAGATTTCTTTATTTTGGAGCAAAATATGGGACGATACATTGGAGATACCCTAAGTTTAAACATAGATATTCTCTGCAACGAAAGTTGATTGGTTTTACAATTGTGATTTGAGTTCTAGAATGGTTCTTAATTAATATCCTAATACTTTGCTCTGCAATTTGGGTTCAACCTGCGAAGTTCCCAAAGCCTAGCTTTCGTCTCATTGAATTTAACCTCGTTAATCAATCACATGTTGCTATTTCTTGCGTAGATTAATTTGAATATGAAATTTTGCTGTGCAACTATTGACGTTTGGATTCGATAAACCCTTTATACTACATTGATTTGTTGTGCACTTGCTGTTGATTGGTTCACCCGCTTCTACCTGCAAACGCTGCGTTTGCGGATAGTAGCGGTTATTGACGTTTGACAACAATCACCACAAGCGCTTTATGCCGCTTTAAACCGCTCATGATCCCTCAAAATCAAAAACTCATTCCCAGCAGCGTTTGCGATTGCGGGCGGTTGCAGGTGAATAATTTGAAAAAAAAAATTAAAAACCACAAACTTAATTAAAATTAGAAAATAAATAGTAATCTTTATTAAAAAATAAATAAGATTTGGATAATAAAATCATTATATAAATAAAAAAAATTAGTACTTTTACTCAATACTTTCTCTGTCCCATATTATAACCAGTTTGTCAAAATGTATCTGCAAAAAAATGGATGTAGCTGGACATTATTGCATCCAGATACATCCACTTTTTTTTCAGATACATTTTGCCAAACTGCTTATAATATGGGACAGAGGGTGTATTCATTAAAACCTTATATCTTACTTATATATTTATAAGTTATACAAATCAAAATTCTCTTGATAAATATTCTTTTCATACTAATAAATAAAATTGTAATATAAATTTAATTTTCACATTAAATATATATTTTTTGAAAATAAAATCACATTTTTTATTTAAATTATAAAAATTAAAAGATAGACGTAAGTATTAAACACATATTATTTTTAAATATGTTGAACCATAAATTTAAAATTTTCATTATAATATTGTTTTGATATTTTATAATCATATAATATGTTTAGATTATTAATTTATTGTTTAACCGCTATTGCATCCGCAAGTGAACAAGTCATAAGTATTTGCAAACGCATCCATTTTCAATTGTTACGCCAGTCGTTCAAACCGCTTAATAATGTTACTAATCATAACCGCCCGCTTCCGCAAACTCCCGCATCTGCAACCGCAACCACAACGATTAAACCAGTCAGGCCCTAAAACTTAATCTATCAAAGTTTTTGGCGCCGTTTCCAACATCTTCTTGTTGCTGTGCACGCCAGTCGAGATGGTCGATCCGATAGTCTTGATTCACAATGCAGATGGGCTTCTGTTTGATGCAGAAGTAAACCAACGCAATGCACGAGGGCAGAAAGTCGATGGTGATTGTGGAACCACCTATTCATAATGTCCCTAATGCTATCCAGACTGTACTCAATGATGGAGTAAACACACTGGGTGACCACAACTTGCCTGATTTGTTATATGCTAATCGGTCAGCGATCCGACCTCCTTATTTTCAGCGGAATGACTTTGAGCTGAAACCTGCATTCTAAACTCTTGTGGGTCAGTATCTTTTTTTCGTGTGTTATTCCCATGAACACCCCATGGATCACATCGAGTGGTTAAGGGTTTAGGGCTAATTCTTATTCGATATGCATCAATTCACAGAAACCAAATAGGGCTCAACCGAAATCTCTACCAAGAACACATCTAATACATACCCTGATACCCATAAAAGAAAAAAAAGACTTACCAGAGTCCCATACAAGGGAATCTTATGAGGCAACTGTTCAGCACATTGCAGTAAAAACTGTAAATATGAAATAACACTATTAGTATACCGAATCAGTGACACATTTCATTAAATTTGAACAACGATGTTAAACCTACAGGCAAAATTTGGTCCCAGAACGCTTGATTTCTCTCCAAATAACACCAAAACAAGTCTCTTCATATAAAACAGAGAAAGTTGAGTAAACAAAAGATATATAGACAGAAGAAACAAGCGATAAGTTCCCAAAAAGACTTGAGAGAAAAATTAGGGTTTAAGAGGGAAGATGAATATTTGAATTCCCTAATAGTTGAAATATGTTTTGTAATCTGTATACAACAGCAAACCAAGATATCAAAGTTCTAAGTATCAGTTCAGAAAACATTTACCTTTACGTCAGTAAGTATTATCTCTATCGTCGTCCTAAATCTCCATAATTGATACCAGTGGCGAATCTACCAAGAAGCATACGGTGTCACATGACACCCTATAAATTTGATAAATTGTTAAATTGTACACTAAAACACTATAAAACCTCTAACTCAGTTGGTAAAATTAGCTTAATGAACCCTTATAATCTGGGTTCGATCCTCAAGTTGACCCCCTTTCAATTTTTTTTTTAACTAGATATTTTGACCCCTGTTAAATTAAATTCTAGATTCGCCACTGATTGATACTACATGGGGACGATTTTCACTCCGATTTTCCAACCAAGAGTGAATGGATTCAATTTGTGAATCACATGGAAAGTCATCAATTTCTTAATCTCTGTGATTGATGTTTTGAGTGATCGCGAATCCATGAAACAATACATCCTCTATATATACTACTCTCAAGAATTATGTTTTACATCCATATTTTAATTTTTTTATCAGATACATCCAACCAGTACATTACTTATAAAATAAATAGAGATAAATAACTGCTATATTAAACCACTTCAACGCAACGTTTCAGGAATTTATAAGGTTTAATTATTTTTTGCGAATATTTATAGAATCTACGATGATATATTTGAACAGTGAGCGATATATTCCCATCATACATTTAATAACGTTTTCATTTATTCTCTATCATCACGAATTAGTTACTTACAATTAAATTTCATGATAAAAGAATATGTATATTTGTTCATTCTCTACCTCATCATCAATCGCTATTGAATGCATGCAACAATTTTTTTTGGAGACATGGTGTTATTAGATCAAACTGTTCATCCTCTATCTTATCGATAATCGCTACTGAAGGCATGCAATTACACAACAAACGGTTCGATACAAACTATAAATTTACACAGCCAGGCTTCCGTGTCATTACAAACTCACAAAAAATTAACCGGTCACTGTTCCATGCAGTGCAAATGATTCTCCATTTGAAAATAATGTGGTTCTTAATGTGTCCATAATATTTTTTTCATTGAATCCAAAATTCCCACTTGTTCACCAATCCAAAATATCGTTTTTCAATGACCATGTCATCCAACAACTTATATTCTATTAATAGCTAGCATATAAATCAGCGCTTATTATAGGACGTTTTGCCTGGTAGAATGTGATTGGAAATTGATCTAATAAATTATATATTTAAATATCAAAAACATGAACTATGAAGATCTATCCTTCGATAATAGAGTATACCATATATAACAACGTAACGAACACTACGAAAAAGGTTTCCGAACGAAATGAGAAAGAGTATATTAACACTAATATCGGGTACATGACTCTAATAACAAATCCCGTAAAATGTCCTTGACCAAACAAAACAAAACCACATTACACCAAATCGTATCAAAGGAATTATTATTGTTCATTGTATACCGTATTACGACACAATAAGATTTAAACATCAAGAGAAGTATTCGTAAAAACATTATAAAATTTCATCGTAAACTGAGTCCCGCCAAAATAAGTTTTAACAAACTACACATGATCATAAGAATAAAATAAAAACACTCGTTTAATAATTTTAAAAAATCCAAGCGTAAAGCAAATACGCCAGATAATCCAATCTATCCATCATGCATCTTTCACATTCCTCGACGAACATCTCCGTGATCTCTTCCTTCCCAACCTTTATAAAATATAACAATCATTACCAAAAATAACCAACATATAACTAAAAATAAACGACCAGCAAACCGCTTACAAACCTTGACTTAAACTCCTCCACTTCTTCAAAAAGATGGATTAAGCATTATGCGAGTAGGTGAAGGTTTACATGTAGTTGTCTTACCTTTTAAAAAATTGATATATATTGGTCAATACGTTAATCGGCCAGTCTTATGCCAACAAAACAAAAAACTTTAAGAATATTAATACCTTTATAATGATCAACAATAACCCACCAAATCACGCAAACAACAACACCACACTTGACACGATTCCAATCATCATAAAAACTCACAGCCATAGATCCTGATAACTCGCACTCAAGAAGCACACCGCTGATTTTGGTGTACAAAATAAAATTAAAATCATAAGTACACAAAAACAACTAATAAAAAAAATCGATATTTAAAAAAACTATGAACCTTGTATCACGAATGTCGAACATTATGCTCTTATTTTCATGTCCACTTTCCTTGCCGAGACATGCAGCAAGATGAAATCTCCCAACACCAGCAACCTTACTAATAAGATCTGGACAACAGATAGGCATTCATAACGTCGTCAAGTGACAAATAAAATTGCATAATAGTATAGCAAATAGAACTAAACCACACGACAAACCCATCGACTAAATAATCGTCATCATGTGTACGATCAAGTATACGCTGAAAATCGACGAAGTAAAAAAACAACGATCACATGCAGTATCGCTCTCGGTAATAGATGTTGATCCATCCAAACAGATAATATAACGTTGTGTTGTAGCTCGGCAAGATTCAAACTGAGGCTTTAGCTTAAGTTTTTTTTATAGTAAGCCACAAACCAATAAATATTGAATCCAAAAAAGAAAGAGATCGATCTTGGCTGAGAAAAGCTTGGACCTTCACGCCCTGATCATCACATTATAATTGCCATAAGAATTAGAAACACGAAATACATTAGTAAAACTAAAAATATGAGTACAAAATAACAAACGCATGTATTCGTCCGTAAGGATCAGCTCAGTGGTCTCTCTTTTCAATCGATTCACCTGTCTTCAGTCCCTCAGAACCTTGAAAATAAATTAAAGGAAGTTTGGAAGAACAAAAGATTTAAATCAGTTGGTTCAGATTTTACCTGATTTGGCACATCCGAACTTTTATAGACACCAATTATAGGCGTAAGTCTATTGCCTTGTGAAACAACCAACATTTTTTTTATTCAATAAATCCTAAACAATTCTAGCGGAATTCTGAAAATAAATTAAAAAAAATAATCAAATCAATAACAATATTCAGCGGAAGAAAATAACAGAATTAAATAAAAAAACAACTTAAACAAGTTCAAATAAAAATAATGCAAAACAATAAAATCCTATCATCCCCTCTTCAGCCTTGATTCCGTGATCACACAAATCTTTTACATGCAACACATTGGAATGGAGTTGCGTAAGTATTTAATAAATACTTGGTCGACCCGTCCAAGTCTCGCCACCATAAGCCGCGCACAACCGCACCGCGCGAACATGAAGGCATCACCGATCCATCGCGCAACACAATGCGTGTCCCATGCACGATCGCACCGTCCGACCAGGAAGGCATCGTCTCTTGTCCGGCCAGAACATTCAAGCCAATATCATCCGCTCGGCCGAACCCGATGACCGAACAAGAAATCCCTTGGCCACGATCGACCCGATGGCGGATCATGACCCGATAGCCGGCCGAACGTCCCGACCGACTGTCTGAACGGTCCGGTGACCCGAAGCCCATTTTGAAGTCCGTTTCACACATTTTCACTGCCCGACTTAACGTAATGCCGCCTTTGAAGACCTAGGACTATAAATACAACTTTTTTGCCTCTTGAGAAAGAGAGCCGCATATTGTATCACATTTTACACTTAGAGTTTTGTTCTAGAGATTTGAAGGAGAAGATCTCTCCTCCTCACTTCAATTTGGAGAAGTTTTCTAAACCTTTATCTATTTATCTATGATGTTTTCTTCATCTCTGTGTTATTGCTTTTATCATGTCTGAGTAATCCACTTGTTAGGTTGTGATATTTATCAACGAGTTCATGGTTTGATAGTTTACTAGAAATCGCTTAGGGTTTATCATATTAGATCTTCATCTTCACTTGAATTCATTGCTGCTTACTTTTCTGATCAACTAGCATCAGATCTTAGGTTTCAGATACATTCCAAAAGATTGCTATATAACCCGAACTAAGTGTTTGGTGAGCAACACTTCATAGACTGCGAAAGTTGATCTATGCGGGGTTGTGAACAATTAGGTCTTGAACGAATTAATGCTGGATTTAACTATCTAAAGACATGCCAAAAGCTTAGCGATTAGATAAGTTAACAAAGGGATCGGAGCCACGACAGTGGGAAGATTCTACCTTCGTGATATGAGTTCTAGATAGCGCGCAAAACCCTAGTGAACCTTTCTATCATCTTGTCAACCATGAATCTCTGCGAGTTTCTCATCGCCTAGCGTTTCGTCCTTATTGATTTAACCATTTGAATTACTTGCTTAATTCTTTAGTTATTAAAACCAACAAAACCCCAAATCATACTTTTTTGTAGCTAAATTAGACTTGCAATAATCGTAGTGGACTTATCTGCTCCGTGCGTACGATAACCCGTTACTACTTATGATCTGTGCACTTGCAGAATCAGGGATTGGCTGATGAATCACTATTCATCTATAACAACAATGGTGTTTTCATCTACATGCTCGTCTATGTTGATGACTTTATCATCACAGGGAACAGCCCTCAACATACCGATCGGTTTATCGAATCTCTCTCTACTCGTTTCTCTTTAAAAGATTTAGATGATATCTCTTATTTCCTTGGTATTGAAGTTCACCGTACTAAAGAAGGTCTGCACTTGACTCAGTACAAGTACATTTCAGACTTATTACAGCGGACAAACATGACGGATTGCAAGCCTATAGCCACGCCAATGTGTCCTAACACACCGCTTACTCTGTTTTCCGGCACACCGCTTGATGATCTAACTGAATTTCGCATGGTGGTGGGAAGCTTGCAGTATCTGTCTCTCACACGTCCTGACATATCGTTCTCAGTCAACAAGATGTCTCAGTTTATGCATCGCCCAACGCATGATCATTGGCAAGCAGTCAAGCGTATCCTCCGATATCGAGCGGGAACAATGAGACGTGGTATCTTTCTTGCAGCAGCAAATAGACCGATTCTCCACGCCTTTACCGATGCAGACTGGGGTGGAAATAAGGATGATTACATATCAACAAGAGCTTATATTGTCTATCTTGGTGCACATCCAGTTGTCTGGTCCTCAAAGAAACAAACCGGTGTTTCACAATCATCAACGGAAGCAGAATATCGTTCACTTGCTAATACAACTTCTGAGGTGTGCTGGACACTTTCTCTGCTTCAAGAGCTTGGTATCTCTCTTCCAACAACACCGGTAATCTATTGTGACAATATTGGTGCCACTTATCTAGCTGCAAACCCGGTGTTTCACTCTCATATGAAGCATCTTGCCTTGGACAATCATTTTGTGCGTCAGTTTGTCCAAAATGGTCAACTAAGGGTCTCACATGTCAATTCTGCCGATCAACTAGCTGATGCTCTTACCAAGCCACTTCCAAGACCATTGTTCCGTGTTCTCTGTGACAAGATTGGACTTTCCGATGGACGTCCGTCTTGAGGGGGGATGTAAGAGTAAGGAAACTGAATAAGTTTCCTCTCTATATCTTTGACTCAATCACGCTATATATCTCACTAACGGTCTAATATTAATTGTGTATATTGCCTTACCTTCTTTGTTCCATCTCTGCGTATATATAAACAGAGCATTACTATCAATACAATTAAGATTTATTCTTATATCTAATAATAGCAAAATTCCAAAAAATCTCTAGGCTAAATCTAGAGTAACTAGGTAGTGACCGAATCGAGTGAATCGTAAGCAAGGATTTGGCTAAACGGAATTGTATTGAACGAATGAAAATGATTACAATGAATTCTCAGAAGAGAGAAAGAACTAAGTTCAAAGGAAAATACAAGGTAAGAATATAGTAATTAGGTCTCAAATGATCAGAAGAAGGTCCTCCGATCCGACTGACTTCAGGCTTCTTTTATAGCTCCAGAAGTAGCTCCGGTCCACCTCCGCTTATCTCGCCACGTACAGCTAACGATCCCGGTGATCTCGGACCAGACCAGATTTGAAGGAGATCTTCTTTGATTTCGTCTTTCTTCGCAGTGCCGACCTGGTCCTTGATCGAGCTGGAGCTCGTCTTTACGTCGACCGGAATAGCTCGGATGGCAGTTAGCTAGCTTACGATGGACTTGCTTGGTGGGCTCGAGGTCTTCTTGTTGGGTTTGAGTGGACCTGGACTTCAATCTTGGATCAAGGTAATGGGCCATCACGGGCTAGATTCCAGGTGTGCAATCTGGGTAAACAAATATGTTATTTTTTCGTTAATTAAATTGATATTTATTGATTTTATCAGTATTGTTAACTTAATTTTTACAATCACTGCATAAAAATTTGACGTGTTGTCGATATGAGCGAATCAATTATTTTATTTTGAAGTTAATTGTGACCAGTGCCTAATATAATATTTCTCAATTTGATATTAAAATCTATATTTTGTATATCTTATCATCTTTTTTATTTTCTTATATAAAGTTTGATCATTCTTTAGAGGGGAAATCGGTACAATATTTTTTATTTTGATTAATACACAAAGTGGGGACAATATCTTTTGGACCGTCATTCTCTTCCATTTTCTCTCACGAACACCGCCGTCTCTCTTTCTCTTTGCCTTCCTCTTCACTTTATCTTTCAGTTCCAGTCGATTCACTTTGAAGATCGCTTTTTGTCGAGATCTTCCTGTCGATCATTAGTATCACTCGATTTGGCTCTAGAAGGACCTTCAACTAAACTAATTCAGAGGAAAAGACAAATCCACAAATTCGGAGCTTGTCACCCAGAGAGAAAGGTTTCGAACGCCATGCAAAGGTTTCCAAGTCTCTGCTCATCACCGAGTATGCGATTTGTCCCTCGCACTGACTGTGCATCACCGAGTAAGTTCAATATGATAATGTTAACAATTCATTCAGTGGATTTCTTAATTCGTTTGCCGTAGCCAAAGAATCAAAACTTAACCCCAAATAGTGTCTCAGGAGAAAAGGAATGGGCTTTTGTCGTTTATGCTCTTGAACCGTACTTGTCCACGACATCACACCTGCTAGTGAGTTATAGAGTTTGAAAAGGGCTCAAAGATGATAATTTGCCAACGAAGAATGAGAAAAAGCCCACAAAAATTGAACTGAGCGAGGGTGACAAAGGTCAGTAACTGAATTTCAGACTATAGAAATCTGTTCTCAGTGAGCTTTGGATCTTTGAATTGGTTGTTGGTAAGATATCCATGGTTGTGAACATAGATGGAAATATTGCAGTTGATTTTGTATGGATTATAAATAAAAAAAGTTACCAAATGGATTTTTTTTTTTTTTTTTTTTTTTTTATTCATCAACAGTTGGGTTTTAAATGTGTCTGCAAGTGAGGAAGATGAATTGGTTTACTCAAAATAGTAAACTCTGAAGGTTGGTACAAATGCTACTCATCTTATACACATATATGTTTTTAATAAATTTACGCATTACAGACAGTTTTTGTTTTGTTGATCCCTTATTTACTTTACAAAAAATAATATGCGAGACTTGTTAAAATGTTCAATCCTTTACCTCTATAAATAGGAATGTGTTCGCAGTTGAGATAAAAGTCTACATGATAGACTCTATGATTATCGCTTTCCATAGCAGTGCAATTCGTTCAACACAACTTCCTCTTTCCATACGTTTCCTTGATATATTTGCAGTATCATAAAAGTTCTTTACAATGTTTTAAGATTTTTTTTTTACTCTGAAGTAATATAGCTACAGACCAGAAAGAAACTTCGAATATTATGTAGATCGATCATCACATATAGACACCGAGATGTAGTAAATAGTTGATAGACTCACAAATTCCGAAATAACACTTCGAATGATGGACCTCTTGATTAGTTGATTGATTGTTTTCATGGAACAAAGCAATTATCATCTTACATTCTCTTTTTAGCTACTCGATTGATTTTCTTATGCCGGATTAAATGCAGTGATTATTTACAGCAGCTTGAATCTTTGTTCCTGAAATCAAATAGACAATGGATTGAGTATAGTTTAGAATTAGATGTTTATAGTGTAGCATCGTATGGTTAACTTAATGGCAAAATAGGTGTAAATATTACCCCTTTATCTATTGCTTCCATAGATGCAAGATCTCCACTTGAATTCTCCACGCTGTTTTTAAAGTGTGACCCAAGAGCATTAGTCATGATTAGACTTTCGTTTTCAGTAATGTATTTGTAGTATTGAGCAAATACTTAAGACAACTTACAATAGTTTTCAGTAATGCATTGGTAGTGAATCCTTTAACAAACAAAAAAAAAAAGTAATGCATTTGTAGTGTTAGACAACATTGAAATATTATTCATTTCGTTACCTCTTTTGGTTGGTACATTTCTCACAGAATTTGATGAATATCATCCCAGTTGTCTTCGGCTCTTAGGACAACTTGTTTTTTCATCTTCGTCATCTTGTTGTGAGATGGTAACCTATATGGAATCAAATTAATTAACTAATTATCAATATAAATATCTCAAAACTGTATCAATTCGTTATGTTACAGATTTTGACTAACCTCTCTTTCAGATATTCTGCTTTAGGTACATGAGGATTGATCATGAGCTTAGATGCATCATAAGTAGAAGCCAACAATTTTTTCCCTGGATAGTCCAGTGAACTGCTTGCAAGTGTATAGAACTTTCACACGGACCATCCATCCGTATGGAAAAATGTGTTTCGAATGAGTTTTCTATGTACAGTATTCGGGTGGGTGTATATATAGTATTTCTGGAGTAACACATTTTTAGGGTTTCAAAGATATCCTTGCATATAATTTGGTAATTATTATTTTGGGTAACACCATTTCAAATCGATTCATTATATAATGAATGTGTCTCTTTTGTTGGCAAGGTACGAGTTATATTTTGAATGGTAAGTATATTCTTATTTGATTATTGCCGAGATTTGTGGTATGTTTCCTTAGATTTTGCTTGGAAAAGTAGGATTTGCAGTTATTACGTATAATCACAGTTAATATCTGTTATTTATGGAAATGATTTGCAGATTTAAAGGTGATCCGAGACTCTTTCTTTCGAAATTTGAAAAGAAAAACTAATGTTGTCCGGTTTGGTTTTTAAATCGAATTGTTACACTGGTTTGTTTTAAGTAGCAACTCAAGATCTGCGTGTTGTTTTGTTCTCTTGGGTCGGGTTATTTTCTTAATTTTAGTGTTAATTTCGGGTTAAATGGGTGTTTGGCTACAGGTTTAGGCGCTTGTTTAGTTGTTCCTTTACTTTAATAGTATAGATAGATTCTTAGAGCTGGGAAAGCGGATTGAACCGAGTATTTTGAAGAATAGATTTTCGGTTTAAGAAAACCATTAGAGATCGGTTTGATTTAAGTTTTCTTTTGGATCCGCGTCCCATATTGTGGATATCTGGGTCGGGTTTTTTCTTTCTTCTGAGTTGACTCAGTTGACTTGATATTTTTTTACAAAATTGACTCTTATTAAATCTGTTGCTTCTCTTTATAAATGGTTTGGTTTTTTGGTCCAAAAATTACCTATGTACTTCTCAATTAATAATAAAGAGATAATGATAATAATATATTATATGAGAGGTTCTCAAAGTGCCTAATAAAAAAATGATTTATAGTTTAACCGCTCCTGTAAAAATAAGCAAGCTGGTAAGAAAAAAGAAATAAATCATTTGACAATGCTGCAAGAGAAACACAACTATAAAACTATATGTTTTATATCAAACTAATACGTCATAATGATATCGATAAAAAATAAGCACTATTGCAAAACTTACATAACAAACACGGAAAAACTCCCAAGAGACCGTAACTTTAATCTGCGTATAGAGAAAATAGATCTAGCTAGTTTTGTAAGCAAGAAAATAAAAGCATCAATAACTACAGAACTACCACACCAATCACGCTCAAAAGGGATCACACGACTCTGCCTCAAATCAGACTCTCAAACACTCGTAAGAGCTATACGAAATCAAGAACATATAGCTGAAATCTATGGAATCTTTCAAGCCATCCATCAATTTGCTTCTGAATTCGTCTCGATCTCTTTTCGTTTCATTCCAAGGACGGAAAATGTTTTAGCCGATGTTTTGGTAAAAAATGCCTTATCTTCGTCTGTATCGCACTTTTATTGAGCCAGGGGTTTAATTAATTAATGAAAGATGTTCAAAAAAAATAAAAAATAACTACCACACCAATCGTGAAGTAAACAAAAGCAAGAAGCAGAAAAATTGTAAACGATATGATACTACTCAAAGTATTTGCAAAAAGCATGCTTTAGGATTTTACAACTCAAGTGACGCAAGCCGTCTAGCGAAGAGTAGAGATATCACCTTTAATATTGTGACGAAGACGAAACATCTCTCCGCTAAACCTAGAGCAATATCCCAAAAGAGTATAGCCGATATGAGAAATACCCAAATTGTTTATCAAGAAAATGAGTTTGATTTATGGATTTACCGTTCCAGAAAAGCGAATAGACTCACATGAAAGAAGAAATATATGAATCATTTGACGATCCTGCAAGAGAAACACAAAACTTAATTGTTTTTTTCAGAACTAACAAATAGATCAAAGTGCAATCGCGAAAATATAAGCGCTATTGCACAAATCTTACATAACAAACGCGAAAAAAGGCCCAAGCAACCATAACTTTAACCTGCCTAGAAAGTACATAGACGTTAATTCTGTATGCAAGCAAATAAAACTACAACAACAGTACAAACCATAAATAATATGAAACCCGGAATAATATAAAAAAACAGAGCTAAAACGTCAATCGGCGAAATATAGACCAATGACTAATAATCTGTAACCGATGTGAGAGCTATTTAAAGTAACTAATGGAAACATGTTTTAGGATTTTACCGTTCAAGAGATGTAAGCCGAGCGGCGGAGAAGAATAAATATCACCTTCAAGAGATTTCTTATCAAACTAAAACACCAAGAGCAAACTTAATATACCGTGCGTCATCTTGATTTACCTATTTAACTCCGGATTTGACTATGCGACTCTTTTGACGATACTGCAAACTGAACACAACCGTGCAAACTGGTGGAGTTTGACCTCTTTTGACAATTCTGCAAACTGAACGCACGATCCACCTTTTCGGTTCACGGATATTACACTTTGATCTCTTTTGACGATTCTGCAAACTGAACGCTAATCTTTGTATTCATTATGGACATCAAGGTAATATTTTGTGAGGAGCGTTGTA